CTGTCGATTCATACTGAAGAGCTGGATATATAAGAACACGTTTACTACCGTTAGATAGCTTATCAGGATATAGCTCTTCAGTTGTCAATCTAAGTATTCATCTGTTACACACTTGAATAGCCCCAAAGGCGAATGATCAGTACTTGCACGGACTACAGTTATATTCCGTATTCAGTGGATTCTACTTTGACACCGCTCTTGTTAGCATAAACTCTTTGTATACTTCAGATCTTCGGATATTGCAGTGCATTCATTACAGAAACTGTTATAGCATCTTTTACCCTTTATATCTGCATTGAGGCATCTTGATCATCAGTTATAAAGGTTTTACATCTATTGTACTGCAGCGATTTCTGGAAGAAACCTGAACAGCTAATCATAAGGAGATCTATGATCTCATGAGCTAAGAGGATGAGATGATCTACTCAGATGGCTTTAGTACTATTGATCTGAGCCGTTTTCGAGAGTGCCTAACCTCACTACTTGAAAGCCTTACTGCTTCAGACAGTACTGAGGGTGCACTATTCTATATGTATGAACTCATTTTATTCCGAAATATCTTTTCTTTATTATTAACTTCGCGCTCAGAAGATAGGATTATCTCATGCTGCTCACTGCTGTATATCAAATCCTGCACTTAGGAAATTGTATTTAATAAGAACAATTGTAGCAATTATATCATTGAACTGAAGAACTACTTTAGAAGTTAGTGTTTGGAAGTAGATTGGATATTGAAGTATAGATGGAAGCTTTGAAGAGTCTATTAGTTATGATGCCTTCTAAGCTGGATTTATAGCTTCTTGGATTATAAATAAACATTATTATACAGCAATCAAATAAGAAGTGCTGCAGCAACTGAGCTGATTTGTATTGCTAGATTTCTCTCTTATATATGATGCTTTCTTGCTTCTTGCTCTGCAATGCTTTGAATTTGCAAATCTCAAGCAACAGTAAAACCTAATATCTATATTCAAGGCTCATACAAGCATTAACTTTAATAATATACAGTTAGACTTGCTACAATTTATAGCTGGAAACTCTAGCTAGAGACTATAGCTGAGGGCTATTACTAGAAGCAATAGCTAAGGACCATGCTGAGGGACCATAGCTAGAGTCTTGTTTCTTACAAAATAAGATCTTTCTGTGGGAATTCTATACTGGTCAACCCCACTTTTATCAAACCTACTATTATAGTGTGTATGCACTACAAGCTTCAACTTGATTCAATCTGGTGATGTATTATCCGATATCATGATTTGTCTTCTTCCTCATTTCCCGATACTAGCTGGCAGAATGTTCTAGCCATGCATCGAGGAATTGCTTAAGCAATATAAGCTAGCCTTAATGCAGTCTGTATCTGCAATGCAATACATAATTTGATTAGTTGCTTAGCTTAATGCTTGCTAATTGCAACAAGCTATGTGAGCTGCAACAAGGGTTGAGATTTGCATCATGGCCCAGCGCTAAAGTCCAAATTTACATAACTAACAGCAGCAAGCCTTATTCAACTGCAAGATGCTTTTATCACCAACAAATATTTCGGTGCTATTGCAATCACCTGAACACGAAGAAAGTTGGGGGCGCAAATTTGTGCTGGCCTTCAGATCTGCTTCGATAATCAGAACCCGTTTAGAATATTAGAAAGACACATCTTGCAACTTGAAAACTTTCTCCAGCTATGTAAATTATATATTCAGATTATTATCAACTCCTTCATTATCCAGTATAGATTCTTCAAAGCAGCTTATTAATTGTATTATTGCTTACATCGCTGCAAATCCTGAGTTAATAAATGATCTAGCTTTGATAATTATCCGACAGGGCTGCTGAGAACGTGGCTGGCTCGAAGAGACCTCTTCAACTCTGCTTATTTCCCTAAGCCTCAGTGATCTTTTCTTCTCTGGATTTGCGATTGGGATAATAGCAACATATGATCTCAGACTTCCTGATTTAGATGAAATTGCGATGAAAAGTTGTTCTCTCATATTCCAAGAAACTAAACTAGTTCTGCAGAACCTCGCTCCTGCTATTAACAGAGATGATATTGCAGTCAACATGCATAGTTAGATAGCGAACGAAGTTTATGAATTCTCTCGGATCTTATGGAATAGTTTCATGACTGCTACTTATGTAGAGCTCAACTTTCATTCGGAACTTCGATATATTCTTTACCTCCACCCTAGCAGGCTGAAGGCCTTCTACAACTTCATCAGCTATATCTCGAATATCCCTGCACCACTTTTACATCAAACTCGAGTCTTTGAAAAAGAATTACCTCTTTTTCTAATAAGACTTGAGCAGGATTCTTAGCAAGATCTTCGATTGCAATACTCTGATCCGCAGATAGCAATCGAATCTGAGAATATATATTGCTCAAATCTTTTATTATATATCATATTCTAATAACTGTTGCAGAATAGGGTTGATTTATTGCATAGCTCTAGTAGTTCTCACTGTAGCAGGTACTTTGAGAGCAATGAACAGGTTGATATGCAATGCTGTTTTTCAGACAGAGATGATAACAGGGATAACAATCCTATAGCATCAGCTTTGGATTCTGAAGCAGAGGCTGTTCAGAAGATTCGAGACCTCGAAGCTGGTTACATACAACCTAGCATAGTTGGCAGAGATAGTGGCTTACTACAAGTTAATTCTCTGTGTTCTGTCTGGGATTACAAGTCAACAGCAAGTTTGAGACTTATGCTTGCTAAAGCAGGCTTTCCCGCTGTCTTTGTAAGAAACACAGCATATTTCTCCCTACACCAAATCGTTTTCTGTTGCTGCTATCTACTGTTCAGAACAAGAGAGGAAAACAGCAACACAGCTGAGGAAGCTATCATCAAGATTGTGAAGAAGCTTCACCCAAACATCAGTAAGATTGATGCTGAGTTTGCATTCAAGAAGCTCCATATTAAGAACAAGACTGTTCAATACTTACTATCTTACAACCTGATCCATATAGAAGATATTATCTGGGCAACGGGCTGTGCACAATCACTCCGAGAGGTGGTTGACATGTTGGATCAGTCCGATATGCGTACGATTGACTTCTTTAAAATGGGTTCAGTCATTTTCATTACAAGAAATGCTGCTCAGCGGCTCATTCAACAACAGCACGAATTGGGAGGAATGCTTAGCATGATAGAGCAAGTATTTTAATTATAAGAAGCATACTGTCAAAACAAGATTATTTTGCTGCAAGTGCGTTGGACTGCTAACACTTCTCAGGACTCAGCGATGAGATCACTTGCATATTCATTGACTCCATTCTTTTCAAACTCATTATTATTTGAAGGTATAGCTTCATTCTGAGCTGTTACATATTATAGAATGATCAAGTTATTATTTTATTTGTTTGTTCATTTGCTTAGATGAATGGCGTAGCCAGGCATCCAGAAACTCTGAGCAGTATGGGGTGAGCTGAGCCAATTCTAGATTTACAGTACATAAATCCTGTGACTTGAAGTCCATTGATAGCAATAGCTAAGCAATCTATAAAATCCCTTTCTTACTTCCATATGGGTGCAGGTCAACGGAAAACCAGTTGTTGTCGTCGCGGATGGGAGCTCTACTCTAGAATAAGTTGAGATCTTCGGTCGCTTTTTCTTGATATTACCTTCATCTCCAGATTCCTTAATATCAAACCTTGCCACTTAGGGTAGTATTGAGTATGTAGAGAACCCTTGAGGCGACCAGAACTAGAGGTTCTAGTGCCCGTTGTGTATGGATGGTCATTACCGGGGGGTTCTGATCTTGGGTGTGTGGATGACCATTACCGGGGAGTTCTGATCTTGGGTGTGTGGATGACCATTACCAGAGGGGGGGTGCAGAGGATACAGGGTAAGAGCGCTCAGAACCGCTAGTTACCTTGCTACAGCATTCAAAAACATACGGCAGCCTTATCCCTTCAAAGCTTGTTGCCTGCTTTGTGATGTTATCATGTACTCAATCTTTACAAAATGACCTACGATACCAGCCAATATTCAATTGTCATAACATGTATCTCATTTGTTCTTGTAATTCGAGTTCTATTGATATCCAATGATAACAGAGCTATCAAATCGATTCCACCCTCCCTTCCGTATGCGAGCTGAAACCAGGAGTGGCCACTATCAGGGTCCTAGGTTGGCCAGCTCAGCCGAGTAGCCAACCTGCATAATCACCCCAGCCAGACCTATAGAGGCCTTGTTCATTGCTGTTGCAACCTTCCGGGTTACCAAGAAGCAAATCTCAGCCAACTGAATGTCTGCTGGTCTCTGGATCAGCATTTTGGAACCTGAATCTTGGGCAGAGTAGATAAATAAGAATACCCGGAAAACTCAAACCCTTTTTTTGAACATGGATTGAGATGATACCCATCATTGCCCATTACCCTTATCAATCACAATACCATAGCTTCGCGGATGCAAAAGAGCTTCATTGTGATCTTCATAACTGCAAGTAATAAGCCAGAAGCCGAATTGTTTAGAAGGACGATTCAAGCCAATCTCCAGTACTATAGATTGTCTAAGGGAGCTGGTCCTACCCTTCATATCACACAGTACGATAGCCTTTACACCCAATTTGTATTTGGAATAACATATGGCTGCAATTTCAAACTGCCTGCTTTGGATGGCATGGGCCAGCAGTGTCTTTCTCTTAGTTTTCAGGGGAGGAGCTTGATTCTTCAGGATCTCAATGCTTCAATTCCTGGCGAGTATCCTTCGCTTTTCAGAAACGGTTGAACATTTCAGAGAATCGATGGTCCTTATTGCACCTTGTGGAATGGAGAAACGGCTGCTCCTGGTGTTCACCTTAAATTCCATTCTCAGCTGCACTTTGTTCTTTTCATCTACGAGAGATTTCTGCAGGCTGCATACAATACATTGTGCGAACAATGGAGCTTACTATTATATCGATCTCAATCTCTTGGAAAGAATCTGAGTCCTCCTGCAACAAACTCTGAGCAAGACTTTCAGGAGAGCTTCAGCCTAGAGGAATCCCAAATGCAGATTGTAAAGATGTTTGAAAATGTATGTTATCCAATCTTTTTGTTATAAATTGTTGTCTAATAGTTCATAGGGAAGTGTTGTTTATTCATCGTGTATTCCTAGCGAATCCCAGAGTGGTGAAAGCTCTGGAAGCGGTGAGAGTACTGAAGCGCAATGGAATACTGCAGAGGGAGATAACGATGGTTGCGCCAGTCCCGCGCTACAACATGCGAGCCCTCCAGCGGTGATAAGGCTCTTGGATGTTGATATCCCTCACATTCTTCCTGGCTCAGCTGGCGTGCATGAGAGTGGCTTACTGGACGTCGCCAGTTTATCGATTGCCTGCTGCTACAGGAGTTCAGGGCATTTGCGCGACAAGTTGAAAGAAACGCAGACATCAATTTTCAATTGGGGAGGCAGGGACCACGCTTCTCTGCACGACCTGATCCTCTTCTACCGCCACAAAGATTTCCAATTCAGAATAGGAGATGAGTCCAGACTCGGGGCGAAGATTCTTAGCGTGATCGAGATGCTAAACTCAAAACTCGAGTTAACTGATGCTATGTTTTCATTTGAGCGAATCATCCTGCACACTCGGACGGTTCGATACCTACCATCAGATAAGCTGCTAGAATTGAGCGACTTCGTTGCTGCAGTGGGAATCAACCGCCACACAATGGGCGAGCTGAAGGAGTACGTGCAGCAGAGGATCTGCATACACGGGCTCAAAACTACGAGGGTTCTGATGAAGTTTGTCAAATTGGAGGATGCTAAATCGTTATGTTAAAATGATCCGATATTTGGGATGTTATTTTCTGATATCCAAGATTTCAGTAGATGTGTTATGATCTGTTCAACACAGAGGTCACAAGGAAAGCGGATCGGAACAGCGGAACAACAAGCCAATCGGGCTAGGAGAATGCCAGTCCAATACTGAGCAAGAAGACCCTGGATTAGGTCTTACGTAACCAAGGGTTAGGGTTACTCCAGACTATGAAGACTATGAACATAGTCGGCATATTCAGGTAACCGACTATGAGGACTATGAACATAGTCAGGATAGTTAGGACAGAAGAGCTAAATATATAACCACAGCCATTCCCAGCAGTAGGTAGATTCAGTGCATAGCTCTTCAGTCGTCAATCTAAGTATTACTTCTGAACACCACAGCAGTGATAGCCCCAAAGGCAGTGAACACTTGCAACACTTATTAGAACTTGTATGTTCCGTATTCAAGGACTTGACACTTCGACACCGCTCTTGTTAGCATAAACCGCATCAGTACTTTAGATATCTTCTGATTACTGCAGTGCTCATCACAAGATGAATCAAAATCCGATATTTCTATGCCTCCCTATTCGAGTCTGTCCTTCTGCGGTAATTTGATGCTGACAATGTCCATCCAAACTATCCCTTACCCCATGAAATGGTATTGACAGCCTGTTGTAGAAAAGATCCTTCTCGCTTCATTGTTCAGCTGATTTGCATCACCTATTCTAAGCTGCAAGGCTATTTCACTCTCAGAATAAAGTGAAATCATTGCAGCAAACCCCGTTGATAGCCAACAATTCATCGCAGCTTTCCGTACTCTTCTCCATGCTTGCATCGCTTCAACCATTTTTGCAACATCTGAGAATAACTAGTCAAGATTTCCCCCTAAATAAAAATCTTTCTCCAATGGGAATGTTGATAGATGAGAGGCTATAGCTGAGCTAGCAAGAGCGAGATAGTAATTGCGCTTGTTAGCCTTAGTAAGATCTGCAGCGTATCGAGGTCTCCAAGTCTGCAAATAAGATGTATAACGATTCTGTGCTTCAAGCAGCGATGCTGAAGAGAATTAACCCGAGCTCTGAAATTGAAGCATGCATTCTATGAGCCATGCCTTCGCTAGAGCTAGTTGTAATCGTATTCCTGCATCTCCTGTACGAAAGTTAATCTCGCTTTCCAATATGGTGATTGCTTTTGATATGTTCCCAAGCTTGCAGAGCATTTCAGCTTGATTAGCTAGAAGGTCGTGGCTGATAATCATCCCAGCCTTAGCTGATATATGCTTGCTGATTAGCTTCTAATATTGATCAGAAGCTTCTTCAAATTGGCCTTTATACCTGTAAGCTTTGGCGATGACTCCTTATCCATTCATCAGAACACGATATTCCTGGAGAGATGGCTCAGACCCAGGAAAGGGTTGGAACCTTGCTTGATAAGCTTATAATTCTCTTATAGAAGCGCTATTGTTCAAGAGAATTTTCATTTTGAAAACGATTCGCTTGCTGTAGATCCCGTTTTCATAGCAGCTGATGAATCTCCGATCAGGCTCCTTTGTGAAATCTAGAGATACGTTCTCAGATCTTAGTTTCCTGAGTATTAAGCCATGCAGACGCAAGAGTTGAAGAAACGAAGAGTTTGTGCTTCCGAATGTTTCAGCAATCTGTAGCATTGACTCCTTCCAAGGCAGTAAACCGAAGTATGAAGCTGAGAGATATGTTCTAGCTAGAGCTATCCGTAGCTTATCCCCTGGTCTGATCTTATGTAGATATGATAGTACAGTTGCGAGCAGCGGAATCATATAATTTGCTTTGGTGAAGCTGCTGGAATTAGCAAGAGAGTGTTGCAATGCAGGGCATGATGCGTACTACAGATCTTGATCCGGAAATCTAGGAAATGCTCGAACAACAGCCTTCAGAGCAGCTAGTTTCGCTTTATAAGTATTATGAAGTTGGACTGCTACTAACGAGCTGATTGCGAGTAGTTCTTTAGTATCGCATACCATGAGGGCTTGCTGCTGGAGCAAATCTCGAAGAGCAAGTGCATATCGCTTTTTATCAGTCAGAACTTCCGAAGCTGGTGTTGCAACAGGAACAAGCTCTCCTTGTTCATTCAACTCTAGAGCGGCTTGCGAGAAGGACTTTGCCTTCAGCTGCATGTATAATGGATAAGAGGGTATGTGCATCGGGGGCAAGAAGCAACAACTGATTTGTTCCATCTTGCAGCTGGTTGGGAGATGTTGCGAGATTGGTGGTGCGGTTACTGGCTGGTGCATCGGGAGTGGAAGTTGCTTGAAGTCCTGGCTATGAATGCAAGTCCCTAGCTATTTCAGCAGCTAATTCTGTTTCTCAATATTAGCTTACATTGATAAGGTATATGCGAGGTATTACCTGAGCAGAGCTTCTGAGCAGCAGATGGGCTCAAAGTGTGCTTGACTCTCTCTTTGGCTTCTCGAATGCGATCGGCATCGGGTGCTGATAATAGCTTCAGTTCCTAATACTACAAAACAAACATGGTCAGACTTATCAGTGAAATAAGAATCTCGATATATCGACCTCACGAAGTCATTACTTGGGTTACCGAACAGCCAGAAGGATACCTCAGCTCGCCTATCTGTTCGAATGCTGAATACGAAAGTTTTGGAGACTTCATCTGCATTGAAATATGGACCATCTTGTTGCAGCTGCGCCTGGGTAGATGAGATGGCGAGGATCTGTGCGAGTCCTGTCTATATAGACCACCATCATTTCCAGTCAGCTGGGAGTGGTCACTCCTTTTAGCTGTTTCATAGGTTATGGGCCCTTTGTCTCTGATTCAGTAGATATGGATAAGCAGTTTACGACCGAAATTTAGAAAAGTAGGGGACTAGCGCCTCCTACCTTTCATTCACCAGCCATGGTTCAAATGGCAGAGAAACCAGCTACGGTACAAAACGGCAGGAATACCAGCTATGGTTCAAATAGTGGATACACCAGCCACGGTACAAAACGGCAGGAATACCAGCTATGGTTCAAATAGTAGACATACCAGCCACGGTACAAAACGGCATCACGGTCACCATCAGCCTCGCGTTAGTTAGCTCTACACTCCTCTTGTAGAGCTAAGGGGCGGTGTGCGAGTCCTGTCTATATAGACCACCATCATTTCCAGTCAGCTGGGAGTGGTCACTCCTTTTAGCTGTTTCATAGGATCTCCATCTCGAGCTGATTCAGCTTGGCCACTTCTTTCGCGAAGGCCTGATTGCACTCCAGGTGTCTCCTGAATTCTTTGCAGTGTTCTCTGGCAGTATTATTGAGAGGCTGGTCTTGTTGCAATCTTGAAAAAGCAAGTTGCAATCTTTTCTGGAATTGTATCCTCTATCGCTAGTGTGCCTCGGCATCGCGAGGAGGGGCTGAAGGCGCAGACGGGGCTATGGATGACATGATAGTACAAAAACTAGAGTGCGCTGGAATGAAGTGGAAATGCACTGGTAGAGGGTTGATCTGTTCTCAGCAGACTGACTTGATGTAAGCTGACAGGAGGAATATGTTGATTGAATGGCGATGGAATGTTGTCAGGGCGCGGCGAATCCTCGGGCCGAGAAGAGAAGAAACAGGCTCTTATTGGCTGATCATCAGTATTATGTGATATCTCGCTGGCGGTGGGGCTATGACGCATGCGCTATCATACTCCAGGCCGGAAAGATTTGTGTCTTTCTTTTATCGGCCTGACTGCGCAGTTCGGATATTTTTGCAATATCAAAGCGTTTCTATCCAGCATGGAGAGAAATTTTACTGTAAGACCTCTCTCTCCACCCATGGGTTTAATATATCTACTGACTTATCGAAGGCTGCTCTGGCTCTTCTCCGGAGTAGATCGAGGCCGAGATCGACTGCAGTAGTGAATACAGATCTTCCAAAGGTGGTCTTGCCTGCTGGTGACCTTGCCGGTAGAGGCAATCCGCCAGTACTTGGAATGAGAGGATGGCTGAAGCAACTTGGCCATACGGTTCGTTGTTCGTTGCAGCTGCTTATTATTGTTCTAACAATTACCGCAGGATTGTGTACTTGCCAATCTGAAGATTATCCACGTTGCTGGCACTAAGGGAAAGGGCAGCATGTGTGCATTTATCGAATTCTTTCTCAGAACTCATGAAGAGCGGACTCATTTTCCGCTCAAGACTAGTCTTTATACTTCGCTACATCTGATATCGATAACGGAAAGGATTCGAATCAACTTTCAGCTGCTTTCTGAAGCTGCTTTTGCACAATATATCTTCGAAATCTCCAACGCCCTATCCCTCGATTAGCAAAACGAAGATTCTGGTTTTCTTTAGCTTCTTGCTCTGATCTTGTTTCATGCTTTTATCCGAGAAGAGGTTGAAGTAGCTATTTATGAGATGCATTATAGCAGCGAGTTCTATGCAACTAATGTGATACAAAATCCTATTGTTATTGCAATCACGAGTATTGAGATAGATTATATTGTTAATCTAGGTTTGAGTATGGAGAATATTGTATAGCATAAAGCAAGCATTTTGAAGAATGGGGTAGCAGCTTTTACAGTTCTGCAACAACTAAAATGTTTTAGCTGTTTTAGAGCATTATGCATTCAAGAAAGATGTGGATCTCAAGATTGTTAAAGCAGATGCAAATCTTTCAAACGGGTTCAACGATTCTTTATAGCGACTTAATTGCTCTCTCGCTCAAGCTGCAACGGATGCATTCCTGCAGCAAACTGCATTTCCCAATTCATCACATTATCTTTCGCAGCAAGATGTTATCCAGGGTATATATTGATTCCGTTGGCCGGGACGCTTTGAGATAATACAGAACCTTGGCTGCACTTGGTTTCTAGATGCAGCGCATAACGAAATGAGCATAATCCATGCTGCGCAGTAGTTTCGAAGAGTATCTCTATAAAAGTAACATCCTGCTCTAGAATTGTATTTTCTCTTGCTGACTAAGCTAGCAGGGGCTATATTCCTGTTCGCCGCATTGTTATTTTCTCTCACTTACCGACCGAGCAATGAGATAACAACGGCATAGTCAAACGTCTAGCAGAATCTCTCGATATTGCGCTTCATAAGGTTATATTTACAACAGACTACCAAGAAGAAAATAAGAGATTTCATTCTTAGAAGCTGGTTGATTATGCTGACTATATCTCAGCTGATATTCCAGTCAATATTGACTATACATTTGCTCAATTCAGCCAGCTTTGAGCAAACATTCGGTCTAGGAGTGAACGCATCCGCACAGCGAAAACAATTCGCGAAGCTACTAAGGCTGCTCAGAGCAACTGTACTGAAATACACGATGTTCATATCCTTGTTACAAGCAGCTTGTATCTAGTCGGGGGCGTTCTCCAGCACACACTACGCTGTCCATTATCTTAGTCCAGTCTAGGTCATATATAATAGATCGATGAATAGAGTCTATCAATAGCAATTTCATTAGGGTGGCGGCTAGGGTGGCGGATCTCGGGGCAGAGAGTGAAGATGGGTCCCAGGGTCGAACGGCTCTGGGAACCGTCACCTTACCCCTTCAGTTCTTACTTGCATAGACAGCAGTAGGTATTATCTTTGCTTTCCCTTTCAATAACTAGGAAGGTCTACACTTAATGCCTTTATGATATTCGTTTGTTATCATGCTCTTTACCTCAGTACGCTTGGGTTGCGGGAGCTCTTGCCCATTCCTCTGGCATCAGTGCTCTCATGTAGTAATTCAAATATGTTCGTAAGCTTCTTTTGAGCAGCAGGCAAGCACCGATGCCTGCGTTCTGAAAATGGTCAGCTAGGCTACCATATGGTGACTAGTGACCAGTCTCTGCTTTCCAGGGACAGAAGTTATGACCAGTCCCCTGCACTCCCATGTCAAGAGCTGTGTTGGACTGACAGCCTCTGGGGTCCTTTCCTGCCGGCTGCTGTTCCGCAGCTTGATCCGCTTTCCCTGTGACCTCTGTGTTGGACGGGTCATAACATCATCTCCCCTCTATCGATCGTTGTCCCTAACGATCGCCTGTAAGTTTCCTGAGTCATTCCTGCGCTTTTTCGTGCCTTCCTAATTCGTCATGTCGAATAGAACTTCCGACTCCCGTATCGTCAAGTCGAAATCTCCCTCTTCTTCCTGGGTTCTGTCGACGAAGGTTGATCAGCAGAACGAGTTTCTTCTAACTGTTTTTTTCCCGTCTTAGCAGGATGCCTTTCTGTTCTTTTTGTGATTCTCACAAGGAGAAGTGCGAGTCCTCTGATACCGACACTACTCGCTGTTCGTTCTGCGTCGCGCGCGGCCGTGGTAGTTGCGATCGCCTTGGTCTGTCGTCTGCCCAAGTGCAGAAGATTGCTTCCTTGCATCGTAAGGCCGAGGCCGAGCTCGATGCGGCGGAGGAGGAACTTGAGCTGGCCGCTGCCCGCGTTCGTCGTTTGAGAAAGCAGCGTTTTCAGTGGGCCGACAAACTTTCCCAGGCCCTTGCTCGTGGTTTGGATAGTGTGGAGGCCCTTGAGGAGCTCGAAGCTCGAGAGGTCGAGGAGGAGCGTCGTCGTGCTGAGGAGGGGCAGAGGGCTGCTGAAAGCCCTCTCCCTGAGGGTACTCTTTCTGATGGGTTGCCTGCTTGGGCTTCCGAGTTCGTGGGTGATTCTTCGGTGGATTGGTCCGGGTTCCTGGATAGCGGGGAGGCTGTCGCGGCTGGGCCTTCTGAGAGTCGCTCCGGGCCGGAGCGTCCCTCCTAGGGGGCCTGGCGTAGGGCGTTCATCCAGTCTGGGAAGTGGTTGTCGAAGTTGGCTACTTCTTCCGGCGTGAGTTTCCTCCATCCCTGAAAGTCCTGTGCGTATCTACAGTGGTTGTCGATGTTGTGCTGATGTTTTTGGTACAGTTGTTTGTGCTGCTGTTGGGTTGTTTGGTGGAATTTTGTCAATTTTTCGCCGCAGTCGAGGTTTTCGAGTGGCTCCCATGAATTTTCGCTGCTAGGGTAACTCTTCCATTTGATGAGGTATTCGACATGATCTCCTTCTCCTCGTGCCTTGAGTACTCGTTCCACTTCGTATTCTGGTTCGTAGTCTTCTGCTTCGATGTCTTCGTCTACTGCCGTTTCTTGTGCTGCTGGTTCGAGTAGTGAGACGTGAAAGACTGGATGCATCCTCATTCCATAAGGTAATGCGAGTTCGTAGTTGACTGGTGAGATTTTCCGTAGGATTTTGAATGGTCCTAGCCTCTTGTGGTCGAGTTTGTGACTAGGTCGTTTTGTTTTGATGTGGTCTTTTCGTCTGGTCAAGTAGACTTTATCTCCCTCCTGTAGGATTGGTCCCTCAATCCTCTTGCGGTTTGCATATTTCGTCATCCGTTCTTGGATGAATGCGAGCTCCGCCTGGAGATCTTCACGAATTTTCTTGATTTTCTGAGCCCTTTTGTCTGCTGCTTCTGCATTGGCTCCTGGGATTTCTTCGTGGTATGCTGTTGGATTGTATTCATAGAGTGCGTAGAAGGGTGATACCTTCGTAGTGCTCGTGTCTGCGCTGTTGTATGCGAATTGCGCCATAGGTAGCAATTCGACCCAATCGTCCTGCTCCTGGTTGATGTAGTGTCGAAGGTACTGTTCGATGACTTGATTCACTCTTTCTGTCTATCCGTCCGTCTGCGGATAGAATGCTGTTGACATTTTGTGTTTTGCTCCGAGGTGTTTCATCAGGGAAGGTCCAGAAGTGTGATGCGAACTTTCTGTCTCTGTCGGAGATTACTTCTTGTAGCATGCTGTAGTTGGGAATGATCGTTCTGAGGAATGCATATGCGAGATCTTCTGCAGTGCTGCTCTCCTTGTAAGGTAGGAAGTATGCGTACTTGCTCAGTCTGCAAACCACTACTAAGATGCTATCGAACTGCATCTTAGTTAAGGATTCTCGTAAGAGAAGTAGCTTGACAATGAAATCTAGGCTGATGGAGATCCAAACAGCGCTAGGTACTAGTAAGGGTTGAAGCAGTCTGTAAGGCTTGTGTCGGCTGGCCTTGTCTTTCTTGCATGTGTCGCATTGCTGTAAGAGGTTCTCAATCCTCTTTCTGAGTCCTGGCGGGTTCCAGTATCTCGAAATCCGTTTGTACATAGCCCGAATCCCTTGGTGTCCGTGTGCTGGGGCGCTGTGCGTGTCCCTGATATAGGCGTCTTGTTCTTCTCGTGTCATGTCTTCTGATTTCTTGCCTTGGTTGTTGATTCTGAGGGTGATGTTCAGTTCTCTGTATGCGTTTGTGAGGTTCCCATTCTCATTCATCCCGAAGATGTTCTGAATTTCTTCTTTGATGCGATCCTTGTAGTCTGGTCTTCTGCTGAGAGCATCTGCCCTTCCATTTTCTTTTCCTTGAACGTGGATAATCTTAAAGTCAAACTGGGATAGATATTCTGCCCATCTTACTTATCATCTATTCAGAACCTTTGTTGTTATGAAAGTTGTGAGATTCTTATGGTCCGAGTATACCTTGATCGTGTGCTTAGCACTAATGAGATAGTGTTCCCATTCCTTGAATGCTTTCACTATAGCTATAAGTTCCTTGTCTGGTATCCCATATCGTAGTTCCGGTTCGTTGAGTTTCTTTGAAAAGTTGGCGATTAAGCGTAGACATTTCTGGTTATCTCGCTGGTTGAGTTCTCCGCCGAGTGCATAATCTGACAAGTCTGTATAGAGCTCGTATTCCTTGAGGGGGTTGGATTCTTCTAAAACCGGGTCTTTCGCGACCAACTCCTTGATTCTGTTGAATGCCTCGCTTTCTATATTGCTCCATTGTAATGGGTGATCTTTCTTTGTAAAGTCCGTGAGTGGTCTAGCAATATCGCTGTATCTGCTGATGAATTGTTAGTAGAAATTGACATATCCGTTGAATGCTCGAACGTCCGTGACGTTCTTGGGTTCCAGCTACTCCCTAAGTGCCTGAATTTTATCCTTCTGCATCCGAATGCATCCTAGCTCGATCATATATCCTAAGTAGTTAACTTTCTGGATGTGGAAGCGATTCTTCGTTGTTTCGACTAGGAGATTAGCGTTTTGAAATATCTATAGTATAGTTCGTACGTATTGTTTATGCGTATCGAGATCTTTTGAGTAGATGAGGATATCATCAAGATATGCAATGACGAAAACGTCGAGGAATTCGCGAAGGACATAGTTGATCATTTCATGGAAAGATGTGGGTGCATTAGTTAATCCAAAGAGCATAACTAGGTATTCGAAATGCTCGTAGCGAGTTCTGAAGGCTGTTTTCCATTCTTCTTCTTTCTTGATGTATATGTAATAGTATTCTTCCTTAAGATCGAATGCTGTGAACCATTGTGCGCCTCGTAGTCGGTCTCGTGGTTCCTTGATGAGTAGTAGAGAGTATCGATTCTTGATTGTAATATTGTTGAACTATCAGTAGTCAATGCATAGCCTGAGTTTGCTGTTTTTCTTTAGCACAAACAGGATTGAGTATCCTGCTGAGGATCGTGATGATCGTATGTATCCTTTCTTGGTGTTCTCGTCGAGGTACTCCCTGAGTGCCTTGAGCCTGGCTTCGTTGAGTCCGTAGATGGGGAAGAACTTGGGCGAAGTTCCTTCCTTGAGTGGGATTTCGTGGTCGTATGGGCTATGTTCTGGAAGTCCGTGCTCGAACCTTCCTGAGAACAGTCTCTTGAATTCGTGGTACTCCTTGGGTATGCCATCGAATGTCGGTGTTGGTCCTCCTTCTGTTTCTGTTACCCTGAGGAACAGGAGGTACCGTTGAGCGTGTCTCTTCTCGCTGATCGCTAGTCTCTTTCGTGGCAATTCTAGGGGCCTTGGACGGCCTCTCCGGGCCGGACCGAGCGTCTGGGGGTCTGTTGTCGAGATTTCTCGTATAGCGCTTTCTGGCGCTTTCTTTCGTCGCTCCGGGGCGGACCGTTCAATCGAGGGTCTCGCTTCCGTTGTAGTATTAACCTGCTGGCGCCCTGGCACTGGTTGGGTTCGCCTTCCACTAAAAGTCTTATATGTTATACGTTATATGTGCGAGTCCGACCGTCTATACAGCTATATAGGCCACCACTACTTCCAGGCAGCTGGGAGTGGTCACTCCTTTTAGCTGTCGCACATTATACGTTATACATTATACGTATGGCTATAGATATAGCTATAGCATTGCAACAGAAAATATAAAGAAAGTTTTAATCTATATTGTCACGAGCTGGGCCTTCTCACATACGAGCTGGGGTCCTCTTATTGACCCACTGAGACCCACAGGACCTAGCGCTCTACTCATATAAAGCGCTGCTCCTTTTGTCTCTTTTCCTTCCCTTTTCTATTCAGAAGATAGTCCAAATGCATTCACGTTTAGGCTCACCAACGCTCGCCTTGCTCGTCTCATATATGTATATATATAATAAGTATCAGACTTCTAAATTTGGTTTTTCATTTACTTAGCCTACTTTCTTAATCCAATTACGAATTTAATTAAATAATGGCGAAAACAAGAGGCTTCAAGGGTGCTCAAAAAGGTTTTTGGAATGGGAAAAAAGCCTGAAAAAAGCTAACACACTTTATCGCTTAACCGGAGCCTATGTTGCTATGCTTATCGAGTTTAAGGGAACCAGCTACTTATATCAGTCTGATAAGCACTTCGCCTTTGCAACTCGCCACCTTTCTTTTGAGCAAAGATTCGGTCCAGACCATTTCGATACGGTTGCTGCTAGAAATGCTGGGATATAAAGCCCTCCACTTATGCCAAACCAGCTATTCAAAAGCGATATTGCAACACCTCCTCTGTCATCTGCCTCTTCTACATTCACACTCGCTCTATGTATATCAGAAGCAGCACGCTATTCAAAGGCACCTTTCATACAGATGCAAAAACTTGAGAAGCATCGAATGAAGCAAGATGTAAATAGTGATTACCCTTGAGTAGCCGACCTTTTTGGAGTTTCAAATATGCAATAGGCTCGGATATAAACATGCAATAAATTGCTTGTATTTCCTTATGCAGAAAAAATAAATAAATTTGAAAGTAGATTATCGAAATAAGTTTTAAAATAGTGAAATTAAGCTATAAAGAAGACTTGTTAGCATCTAAGTTAATAAGAAGCATAGTTATGAAATACAACTGCTATACCTCTCATTACTCTTCGAACATTATAATAGTAACTTCAGATGGAGTCAATCGAGCTATGATTAGTCAGTGTTTTCCGTGCACCCATATCCTGTCTATCTGTCTTGCGAGTTGAGTCGGGAGCCCGACTTCCCAATCGTTCTAATCTCGAAAAGAAATTAAAGACTGTTCAAAAAAACCGAATTGTGTAGACCGTGAATATTGGAAAATCATATTCTGATCCAGATCGACTCGGGAACGCGAAAACAAATCCTCTCGTTGCTGAATATTCCAGCCGAGGACCTCCGGGATCCTAGCGTGATCCATCCTCTGCCAGCTCAGTTTCAATTCCACTGTCAAGATGGTCGACACCGTATAGAAGCCGCACATAGCCTGTGGGGACTAGACTGTCAATAGATTCTTAGGCTCTACTGCGCGGATGAATAAGGTTCGTACTATGCAGATGAGGCGCAGGGAGGCATGAACCGCTAATGCACCAACGAGCAGGTGGCAGTCGAGCCCGGTTCCAATACTTGTTCCAGCGTAGATGCGAAGCATTTTCCTTTGAAGTACCCTACAGTTGTCGGGAAAATGACCCTAACCCTGACCATTTTGGGTATATAAAACACTCTTTCTGTGCTCTCTTTTGTGTTCTCTTTTATAGATCTTAAGAAAATCCATTCAAGAAATGCTTATAGAAAGACCGTTTCTCCCCACAACAGTGACAGCGAGATTTACTGCAAGATACGCATTAATAATAAGAATCTCGATTACTCTGAGAAAAAAGACTGGCTTAAGCGATTGAGTAATTGCAAAGAACCAATTTTTCACATGTTAGAACGCCATACGATAATTGTATAATCACTCGACGAGTTATTCTGTTTCTCTGAGTTTTGGTTCAGCTTGCAGCTCGGAAATATGAACAAATATATTGCCTTGCATGGTGATGAGGAGCTTGTCAACTATCTCAAATATATCTACGTAACTTGGCATATAATTACGAATGGAGATGATTTAATTGCACAAGCTGTAGATATCCATACAGTTCGACATTTATAACATCGTATCCCCTATAGCCAGGATGCAGCTGAGGTCCAAGTATTATTCCTGCGTGGCGAGCTCTTCCCGTCTATTATAGACAGTTCTATAAGAGATGAATTGCAAAAGAGGGTTCTGGGTCTGAAGTGCTTCATTCCCAGTATCGCGATATTTCATAAAGATACAGCATACTTTTCACTTGCAGCAAGGTCGATCAAGACCTGGGTAGCTCCCGACATAGACCCGCCTGAGACCGACCGTGGCACGCTGCGTAGCGCGTACTCGGTGCGAGTTTCCAACCTGTCGAGCCTGTGCCAATCCAAGCCGCAGATCATCGCTAGGAGCACTGAAGAATGCGCTCACTTAGACCAAGAACAAGGATTCCTTCTCACTTATAGACAGCTTTTCATAGCGGCATTCAGGAGGTTTGCAGACCTGACAAAACGAGTTACCGCTTCAAGAGATCCGAGTACGTCATCTCCAAAGCATCATCGATAAGAGTTATGTGCATCACTTTCAATACATAGCGCAGCGTCTAGGCTTTATGACTGCCAAAGTTAGCATGAATACTAGAGATCTAGGTTATCCAGAGCCGAAAGACATATCGAAGTTCAACCTCGCGCTGGGAAAGCTTTGGCGCGGTAGAAAGCCATTCATTAGCACATATTTGCAGCTTCAGTCAAGTCTATTCGATGGAAGCTGTGCGCCTATACACTATAAATATAATACAGATAATGCTGCTAGTATATGTCGGAGTTGATAAATCATTTTTAAGCAACTGTACAAGTGTTCTAGAAGCAGCTTGCAGAGTCTACCGGAAACAACGAGCACCAGAGCCTAAGAACAGTCAGCAGGGGGCAAAATTGGAAGTAAGGACAATGAGAACACACCCGACTGGTCTCGGCAACGGACCAGGGGCAGGGAGCGCACCGCACCAGGCCCCGAGGGAACCTTGTTCCTCTTGGAGGGCTAGCAACGCCAGCGCGGCGCTGTATTCGAGAGACAGGCGGGACTCACGGGAGGCGTGGGGGAGGGGGTGGAGGAGGGCACGAGGGCCCGGGGTGAAGGGGCCCTCGGCGGGAGGGTCGTCGGCGGGGCGCTTCTTGCCCTTCTTGAGGGCGGCCTTCGCGGACTTCACGGCCGCCTGGCGGCGAGGCCGCGTGAGAGCAGCGGGGGCGGGGGCAGGGGCGGCGGCGACGGGGGCGCCCGGGGGCAGAGGTCGGCGTGGGGCGGGGGTCAGGACGAGGCGAGGAGGCGAAGAGGCCTCACCAGCCTGAGGACCCTCAAGGGCTCTGGGGGTTGGATCAGCCCCTCCCTCCCCCTCGCCAGCAGGCGTGGGCTGAGGAGACATCTGCAATCAATCAGCTTCCACGCAACTGATCAACGAATCAGGGATACACGTACTGTTGTTGCTGTTGCTGCTGTTGCTGGTGGTGGTGGTGGTGAGGAAGGAAAAGAAAGGATAGAAAGAACGCGTACCAGGCCGGGTAAACAAAGGATAGAACGGCCCCACTAGCGCGATGGCCCTGGCGGTGTCGAGGACTGCCAAAGTGCTACTATTTCGGAGACGGGTGTACACCCGACGCGGCACCGGAGCAGAGCAGGCATGGCGACTACGCTGCGCTCGAGCTGAGTGCATCACTCGACCAACCTCGCGACAACACCTGACACCGGGGCAGAAGATACGAGCGGTACTGTGGGCGGGCCGTTCCATTTGAATAGGGAAAAGAAGCGGGAAGGGGACCACCCGCGGTCTATGGAGAGTTGAGCGACTCGAGATAGGATGTCCACGCTGCTTGAGAGCGGTGTTCCTGGGGACAGGAACCTGGAAGAGGGAGAGTTCTGTCAGGGCTAAAGTGCGCACTCTGTGATACCGGCGCACACCTTGGCGCTGGGGCTAAAGAGAGGCGCTGCGGAGGCTCCGCTCTAAAGCAGAGCGGTCATATGGTGCCAGCGAAGCCCTCACACTACTGTTATCTAAGTCGGCCCTGAGCCATCATGTACTTAAAGAAGGCTCTGCTTGAGAAGAGCAAGGGAAAAGGAGGGAGGAGACAGGTTCAGCAGTTGCAAGGAATCAAGAAAGCAGCTTGGGAGCAGCTCATACCCTCCCTCTCACCTCACTTGTGTGCCCTTTTCGCCTGACAGTAGCGCTCATGAATCTTCAGTTCCTTTTCCATAATCTACCTATCTTGCAAAGCAGTAACATCAGGATCTATACAGCCTTCTGCAAGGATTTTTCGTACCCTAGCATACAGTCCTACATCTTCATGCTTCCAACGATCACCCCCAGGAAAGATCACCTGCCGCAGTTTGTTTACAACTATGGTCAGCGGCCGATAATAATCGGTAAAGTTCCGTGCGGATGTCTGCGCAAATACACTGCTGTTAATCTCACCAAGTTTGACCTTGAGCAGCGTGTTCGTATCCATAAAGTTCCACTTGTCAAACTCGGAAACAATTCTCTCCTTGCCCGGCCCCTCGTAGTGAATGCAGATCCAAAAAAGAACCCAGTAGAAGGACTCGATGTCGTGCATAAACGAATGCAGCTCGCCCATGAGTGCTCCTATCGCTATGAAAGCCCTGGTTCCGGTCATACTCTTTGCGCCCGATATACCATCTCGCTGTATCTCAATAGCAAGATCCAGATCGATCAGGTATGACTGCCAGGACGGGTTATCAGGATCTTCATTGATGATGAGGTTGTTGATCGAGATATCTCTATGCAAGAATCCTGCTCGGTACAGAGACTCATGTCCCGCGATACAGCTCTCTAGTGCAGTGAGCAGACGCGCTGGAGAGCTTGCTTTGTAGATCGGCAGTCCATAATCACGAACAATGATACGCCTGTGTTCCCGGTCCGGCAGGGTGGTGGTGCTGGCCTCGTTGGGGTTTTGCGAAAGGCGGGATCGTTTGCTGGGTGGCAGAGGTGCATCGGTACGGCTGGATGGCCGTTTGGTTGATGGCAGAGGTGTCACAGGTGTGCCAGCTTGGCTGGACAGCCGTCTGCCTGCCGGCTGTCTGCTGGACGGCAGAGGAGCGCTAGCTTGGCTGGATGGCTGCTTGCTTGATGGCCGAGATATGCCAGCTTGGCTGGATGGTGGGCTGAATGGTGGCAAAAATGCGCCAGCTTGGCTGGACAGCCGTCTGCTGCTTGCTGGCTGTTTGCTCGGCGGCAGAGGGGGAGGGGCGGCAGCCTGGCTGGATAGCCGCCTCATGACGGCAACACTGCTGCTTCGGCCTCTCCGCGACATACTTCCTGATTTCGCGCGCAGCGTAAAGTCTGTCCAGTCCGGCTTGTAGTTGGAAGCTTTGGTGATATCCAGCCCCTTGCGCACATTGCTCAGGATAGTGTCATCGGCACCGCCTACCTGGACAATCTCGTGATGATAGTACCGGGCCATATTGATGACCTTCTTCTCAGTCGCCTTGCGGAGCAGGTCGCCTTCTACGTCCCGCTCTGGGAACTGCCACGAATCTTTGATAACAAGTATTGTCCGAGGATCCTCTTCAGAATGAGCCTTCCAGCAGGTCGTTGCTCGGCCAGCGATGCAGTGCGGGTGTATTATTGCTCCATCGATCATAAGATGCTCATTCGCGCCATTCCGGTTGATCTCGATAAACTGCTGGCCGCTGGGGGTTCTTTTGAATGTTGGATCGAAGCCGAGCTCCTCTTCATCCATCCACAGAAACCCGAGCATCGTGAATACAAATCGCAGCCCGTCTTTATTGATATCGAACTGTTCGGAAGCGATCCCCCCGAGCCGGTCAAACTCCCATAGCCTCATGAGCGATCCACAGAGGGTAAAGGCCAGGACGAAGCGACGGGTGTTGGAGGCTGAGAGCACCTCCCTCGCATATCTTGCGATGCTTATCCATGCAACCGAGGGTATATCGTCAGACGCATCGATCTTCAGCTCGCCAGGCACAAGGACGTGCGACCATCGATATCCGGAACCGCTTGCTGCTGCTGTAATGGGATCGTCCTTCACAAAGCCGATGTCCATGCTGCGCTTCCCTACAGAGTCTGGGAGCGGCGTGCTGGGTTGTATCAGCAGCTTTCGTTGAGGTATCTGCACAGGTATCGGTGTAGATGCTGGCGTAGATGCCGGCGCGACACCCCACTCTTGTGCAAATGCTTCCAGCTGGGGAAACAGGTCGTGGAACCAGTCCACCACATTCTTCTCTGATGTGGCTGCTGGCCAGTCGCGCCACCCTTGGGGGCCAAAGAGCGGGTTGCTGCCCTTGACGCACTTCTCGAAGACAGCCCTGGACGCTGCTTCTATGCCAGCTACCTGTCCGAAGTATGTCTCGTGGAAGGAAGGAATATCGACGTAGAGAGGACCAAGTTCCTGCTTAAGGATCCTGTCTACCTCTTCGCGCTTCTCGAACGAGCTCATGATGCCGCTCGTAGTGTATACCCACGGGGTCTGCTCGAGGAAGGTTGCGATCGGCTGCGGCGGCGGGGTACGCTGCGGCGACAAGACATCGGTGGTCAGGCGGCAGATGTGATCCCAGATGAGCTCATCGGCGTCGTGCTCGAGGACGGAGCGGAGCAGGGGCTTGACGCTATCGAAATCGAAAGCACTGGAATTGGTTGTCGAGTTCAGTCGGATTAAATCGGTTCGAAGGTAGCCTGACTTGGAAGATAAAAGACGAGCAGCGGGCAGCATCGAGAGCATAGTAAGAAGAACTGATGAAAGACCTTGCATATCTGTCTGCTTATTAGAAGAGACATTCAAGCAACAACTAGTCTGCCTTACCTTCTTGGCTCAGATCCTCCAGCGCATCCAAAGTACAGGAGATGCCTGCCTTGTCGCAGATCGAGTTGAACATATTGTGGAAGCCATCGAGATCCTTGCCGATCGGATGATCTTTGATCAGTTGTTGCTGCTGGTCTAGCATGATGGCAGCAGTGGAGGAGGTCGTGGTGATGATGAGGATGGAGCTTACTTCGTTAAGGAGGCAGGAAACACCATCCAGGTAGCGGCCTAAGGCTGTAGCATAGCTTACCACGGATTATATAATATATACATTAACTCCGATAGCATGTGCATCATCTGATTGCGCTAGCCTTTTTCGAAAATTGGCTAAAGCGGAGAATAGCATAGCCAAGCAGATGCAATACAGTTTTGCTAAAAACAGTAGTGAAAGTATTCCTCAAGTAGCGTAATGACTTTAATTAAGCCTTGACTGCGAGGCGCACCCTGACGCATCCGGCCGCGATGCCATGACGTTCCCGGCGTGTCGCGATCCAGGGAGGGTGCCTGAGGTCCGCCGCCCTTTCCTAGTAGGTACGCCCCCATCCACTCCTCCTCAGCACTGCCTCCGCCTGATTCTATGCTATCCAACATGCAAGTCACAAAAAAGGTTATACGGACAGGACCCCAGGTTGGCAGATCCGAGATCGAAACATGATGCTTACAGAGGGGAGAGGGAAGACCGCAGCCAAGAAGAAGGCACTGAAGGCAGGACCGGCCGGGGTCGGCCAAGCGGCCGGCCCCGCCACTCCCGTCTCGATTGGGTCCTCGGACCCGGCAACCCCTACGGCGTTTACGCCTATCATCATCACCTTTCCCTCCGGAATTCTTCAAGGGGCAGTCGAGACTCTCCCGCCGTGCCGGGTTTGATCGAATTTCCTAAGAAGCTCACCGACATAAAGCTGCGAGCGGAACTAGCCGCTACGAAGTCGCTGTCTTGGTAGCACAATCTGCCCCTTAATTATAGCTTTCTACTAATGCATAAGATTTATAACAAGAACGGAAACTAACTCTGACTTCCGTAGTATAATGCAAGCTTTGAATGAAGTGAGCATCCCGTCTTCGTCCAGCTTATATACCGGTACACCCATTTGAGTAGCAGTGGCTTAAATGCGGCTTTTTCCCGCTCGAGAGTCTGCCACACCCCCTTGCACACTAATCCTTGGATTTTCGCCTTCATGGCTTTCCACCAGTCGATATGGAATTGGCCTGGGCATCTCTCCAGGTGGCTGGCTCAGTAGACCGAACGTGAGACTTTGGGGGCGAGGTGCTCCCGGAAAGACTTTATCCCATATACTGAACCACTGCTCAGAAAGATCATGCTCCTTGCCCACGCGACACCTTAGCTCTTCAACCAGTTCGTGAGTACAGCAGCAGGTATTCCTTTTAGATTCTGGTACCTCTAGGATCCATAGAGCTACCAAAACTACGCCTACCGCTTGTCAAATGGACTTCATGCCAACCACATGCTCCTTGAGGAAGCTGCTTTCTGCTACGAAGAGCCCAGCTTCTTAAAACAGCCCTGACTATTCAAAACCTTGACGCTGAATACGAGCTTACGGAGATGCATAAATAGCTCGCATCAATACAGTGTCAGCTTCTTTATTGCTATACTTAAAGCGTTCGGTGGGCCCAGTAACAAGCCTCGACTAGTAAACTGATTGCGTCTCGCTTCATAGCAATTTAATCAAATCAAAGTGTTATCTCTGCCATGAAGTGTACGAGTAGCAGGACTATCGATGCTATATCAAGAACTACATCATCTGCAATACCAGAAATAGCAACTGAAAACGAATTGACGTTTTCTCTTGCTTGCCTACAGTGCGCCAGTCGCTCCGAGGCTTGACAAGAGGCTGGTAAGCGGTGGTTGCCGTTGGCCAGCCTAGGCCCAGTATGGTCATGCAAGTATCCTTCCAAAGCGCCCCAAGAACTGCTTGGCTCGAGGATGAATCCTATTTGTTATAGATTAAGCAACTGAGGATTTCAACTATATGCTAGTTTCATATGGGGATATTAGGTTAACTTTAACAATATATGTTCTCAGTTCTCAGCTATAATGATGCAAACTGATTGTATACTAGTGAATAGAACAATAATTCAGCAGAAATTGCAGAGTATATCCCTGAAGCGTCTATATCCCTAAATGCATAGTAGTCCAGACTATATAATACTCAAATATATTGGGGATGATAGCAGAATCTCTCATGAACGTGCATGCGAGCCCTGCTATCAGAAACTAGCAGTGTGCGAGGGCCAGTGAGTCACTGGCCCTGGGCAGTGCACGAGCCTTCCAGCCAGCAGCCAACTCTAGATAGCCTCAGCCAGATTAGCTAGCTTCCTTTTTCCTTTTCTTTTCTTTGGTAGCGTTCACCAATCAACAGTTCCTTTTTCCATAAGCAGCCTATAGCTTTACCTGCTGGTTAGTCTTTCTAGCTTTCATAACTTGGTAGATCTCATAACTCCAGTTCACAGTTATCGCCGCTGTTAACACAAAGGCAGTCCACGTAATGGCGATGAACTTTTGGCCGGTAGATGCTGATAGCCCAATGTGCTGACCGAGATTATTGATCTTCATCGCCGACTTTCTGCTTACAAATACGACGATGATATTGCCAGCCAATAGTACGAAGGCTGCAAGCAGAGCAACAATGACATTCGCTCAGGACATGCAATAGATAGGTCGATAGAGCCACCAGATACAGAGAAGAAGAGAGAGGACCGAAAAGGCAATAGCCAAAATATAGAGGCCTGTCAGAGCTTGGAACAACCCGGGAATCTTGTTTAGCTGATCCTGGAAGTCTTGTGTGAAGCCAAGCTTGTTTAAGTTCAGATGTAGAGGACCCATCTTTAGCTGGTGATCAAGGAGCGTCGAAATATTGAGGAGGGCTGTTGAGCGTTAGCGGCAAGATATATACACTGTGGATGAAGACGAGATACCTACTAGTATTCAGAGGCTGCGTACAACTGCTCACATTGTATCCAACCCTGAGAGTCGTAACGTTCGGGGTGAAAGTGCCCTGGCAGATGTTCATAACATGGAGAGAATACCACTGCTTGATCCCTAACTCCTTCGCGAGCTTGTCGGCAATATCGTCTTCAATGCTTGGAAGCTCCGCAAGGTCGGAGCTGACGGACGACTCTAACGCTGCGGTCGCGCTAGCGCAAAGATTGCCTAGAGTCCCGCCAAGAGACTCACAAGATGTGGGTGAAGGATCTAGCTCTCTGCTCGTCTGTGCCGTAAGAAGGTTTTGATCCAGCATGGAGGTGTTCAGCAAAAGAATGTGGTAATCCTCCATGAAGCCAGGGCTTTTGCCAGCTATAAGAGCTAGCATAGTCAGCACCAGACTTATTATCATGATAGGCATGCCGATTGCAGGGCGCATTTCGGGCCTTGAGACCTGCTCAAAGGTTGTGCGGACTATGCGCACCGGCATCTTCGAGACCTGCTCGAGAGCTATTGCGCGGATCTTCCAGACCTGCCCCATATTGACCGAAGCTCTGTAGAGTGAGCTGATAAGACATGACAATGAAAATCTGGAATAAGGAAGGGCTTAGGTTATAAGTGCAGCAAGGCCCGAAATCCCGGCTTCTGGATGCCGCAAGCGCCCACGAATTCGAAGATGCACACATATTAAACCGGGCATCAAGGCACTGAGCAATTACCCTCTTCTTTTTATATAATTAATGAAATTCATACCGCCGAGATCAGAACCACTCGAGCTAACCAGGGTGCGGGTTTTCGGGGCGCAGAAAAATAGGGAATTGAGTTACTAGGATTCCAAACCTATCTGCGGACCCATCTAGTTCAACGGAGTGGATGCCGTGGCGGAAGCGGCTTGCCGCTGGAGGCACGGCAGGAACGGAGAGTTCTAAACTGGGTTCCACTGCAATAATTCCTGTACGGAGATTGGTCGAAGGTCACGTGAGGAGGTACCTCCAGGGAACTACCCCTGTTCCATAGCGCTTGATGAGGAGGAAAAGGAGGAAAGTGTGGCATCGTGCCTTCCTAATCTGGAAGGAAATCGTAGAAAAGGTAGTTCAGGCAAGAGCGCTGCAGGCCATAGCGCTACAGGCAGCGCTGCAGGCAGAGAGATTCAGGGGGTCTCCTCCTGATAGTTAACTGAAGCTCTTCAAAATGAAGATCTTGAATGATGTCTTTCAATATAAATAAACTGAAGCTATTCAGATATTTCTATTGATTGCTCTTATCGTTAGTCCTATCAAGTTTGCTGAACAGCCTGCCACAGTAAATGCCAGCTACAGTAAGTGCTAGCTATATGCCAGCCGAACATGCCTGCCACATATATATTCACCCACCTTTCTTTCCATCTAATAGAAAAATCTGCTACGAAATAAATAAACAAACAAACAAATAAACCTACAAACCACTCAGCAGAGCCCTTAAACCATTATTGCTATCAATATCTATTCAAAGTATATTTCAATGGACTCGTTGCTCAGCTAAGTCTAGAGTATACTCTATTTCAATGCATCCGTTACTTCCGCTCGTTATAAGTATACTTAATTTCGATGCACCCTCTACTGGCCTTCGTTACGAGTGCACTCAATTTCAGTGCACTCTCTACTAGCCTTCGTTACAAGCGCATTCTGCTCAAATGCACCCATTACTGCTCTTGGTTACGAGTGCTCTTTCAATAGACTCTACTAATATTGTGATAATATATAGGCTTAATATGTTAGCTGCTGTAGGCTAATGCCCGCCCGACCCTCCTCGCTCTCCTGGCAGCGGTGAACAGGATTCTTTCCAGCCCTACCAGGCTGATCAATCCAACATCACCAGCTACAATAGCAATCAGAAAACGATTTATAATTGCAAGGCTTCCAAAGCTACTTAGCGATGCTGCAACTGTAGTAAGATCAAGTCTATTGCATGCTTTCAGAAGAAGAAAGGCTGCGAAAAGCTAGCTATCAACTGTTAGAAGTGCTGTAATAAACAGAACTCCTTACAGATTTGGTTCCCGTGCTATATTCCCCATTCACAGATTTCTAATACTTTGATAGAAAGTATTAAATACTGTACATCGAGTTCTTTCTGCTATCACTAGGAGAAGCGCAGCAGCAGCAGAGCTGTTCTCCCCAGAGGGCGCCAATCCAGCATCCAGGCTGCCTATAAGGCCTCTTCGTCCTACTCAAGAAGAGATCGTGGTTGCACTTGGTTCTCGTCCTCTTTCCCCGATCCCTTCTCCTCGAGGCTGAGGACGGGGCATTCTACAGGCTGCCTCTATGAGTCAGCTAGATGGGCGGCCGCCCCTTCCTCCTGCACTTGCTCATTCTTCTATACCTGCTCTTCCCCTTTCTCAGTCTAGCCTGAATCGCCCCTCTGCTATGGACTGGCTGAGCGGAATATTCCATTGCTATAGTCAGATTAAGAGCTATATGCTAGCTAAGCAGCATGCTCACAATCAACGCATACGAGATCAGCATCAGCATCGGGTTCAGCGCTGCCAGAGCGAGATTTCTGATCCCACTCCCCCTTCACAGGAATATCTCTTACAGAAGCCTGCTCCAGGCAGAAGCTTGATAACCAGCAGCGCTGGCAATGATAACAAGAATCCATAGTTTGAGTATTCTATCTGCAGCTTCTATTATCATCCCTAACTCCGCTGCTCTGATAAGCTGGATATCTGCTGTATCTGCTGTGATCAGGATGAGAATATCTGGAATAATAATACGCTTATAGTTTGTATTCGATATAGCAGAAAGCTTCTCTTGATAAACTTTCTACGCTACGAGCAGCATATGAATATCTGCATAGAGTGTTCGTCTTTTCCTTTCTTTCTATCCGCAGGTTCAGCCTTTATGCTATCTTCCAGCGCAGGCTAGCTTATCTAGCTAACGCCTGCTGCTTGCTGTAAACGCTCTCGAGCCTCTGATCAATCTCCCGACTAGCTAGAAGAGATATCTCAGTTCCTTCAATGCAGCAATCTGAGGTTTGATAGTAATCTCGCGCTGCTCGCGCTCTGGTCCGAAGAGATAGATTTTATTCAAGCTTTCCAGAGTGCAATGAATGAAGAAGCTCAATATGAGATCTGCAGCTGCTATAATCACTGCTAGTTTCGTCTTAAGGTTCAACAGAATGGGATTTGTAGAGCCTGCTATAAGCTTGATAACAAGAAAGATAATAAGCTGCTCAACTTCTTTTCGCACGAGAACAGCCTGAGCTTTAGTATGGTTTTTGCTAATCTTTCTGAAGCTATGCAAGTTAAGAAGCAGCTGTTTGCTCGAATTCACATCTTCATCAACTGCTGTCTGATCTGGGGCTAGCAGTATCAATATAGCAAGCATTATATCAGCTTTCTTTGAGATATTGCTTATCTCTTTCAATAGCTCTCTTATCTGCTCAAGAAGGCAGATCTTCTGATTCTTTGGCCTTGCAATACCCAGAATAAGCTTCATATTATGCAAGCATATAAGAAGAAGATGAGAGTCTGCTGCAAAATGATAGAGATCTGGCTATGATTCCTTATAGCTAATTATAGCGGATATAGCAATCTTCAGTTAAACTACAAGCAGCTTGCTCAGCTGCCTGAGGATGGGAATATGATCGATAAATGCATAATCATCAAGATTGATAATAAGATAGCTGCATTACAGCTATCTAATAACAAGGAGAAGAATGAAGAGGAAGCTTTTGAGGAGATTGCTGCTGCTTCTAATGTTATTGCTATCCACTCGGATCTGCACTGCCTTCGCCAGCAGCTCTCAGGCCGAGATTTGCAGCTCGAGCAGCTTCCTATGCACCCCGAGAAGCTTCCTGTACAGAATTTCATCGAGATACTAAGCATCCAGTCCACCCCTTTAAGCAATCTGAATCATTGTATAGCTCTGTTCAGCTTTGCAATACCTACGCTTTTTCCAGAAGCTAAGAGCGAGTTTATCAAGCTTTGTATATGCGAATGTATATTTAAGTAGTAAGTATATTATATGATTTTCCATAAGAATGAACAGTTTGCCTAGCATTCTCGCTTTAACTTTATAGTCTTCAATATACTGATAAGAGCAGATATTAATAAGAAGAGCAATTTCTTTGTTAATCGCTCTGATTACATCTTGCTAATATTTAATATTATTAATGCATTTAAGAAAGCTCTTGAGAGAGATGAGCTTGAGGCTTGTATTATTCTTAATTCTATTATTCGCTTAGCTGATAAGCTAAAAAGCACTTATCCCTTCTGAAACTAGATCAGGAACAAGTTGCAATCTCTCTGCTATGCGCTCAAGTGCTCGCATATCTTCGTTACTGCTTCTGCAGCTGATCTGCACTAGGAGTTGCTAGCTTATATAATGCTACGATATCAAGAGTAGCTATAAGCTGATGATAAGAGCAAGATGGTTATTATGCATTGGAATCTAAAGGAGAACTCTCATATTGCTGCTTATCACTTCTACATCAGGTTCCAGGTTTTCTTCAACGAGTATCTGTTCAAGAAGTTGAAGATTAAAGCTTACTAGCAGCGCTATGAGTAGCAAGGCTGAGGAAGCACTTATGTTTACAGCCTTTACTGAATCAAAGCTATAATACAGGCTCTTGATGAGGGATTTCTCAGCAATATTCAGAAAGAAGAGTTCGTAAGAGCTTGGAGCTTTCACATTACTGCTTATAACCCAGAGCCTGCTTGCTAGCTACTCTCTTATAAGGCCAACTCCTTGGCATTCAAGCCTAGCAAGGATATTATGTTCAGCATGCTTTCTCGCATTATCAATCATATACAGCAACACCAGTGCTCTGAGGCTTACTGTCTCCGCTAGTACAAGCTTTCTGATAGCAAGTAAGCGGAGAATAAGCTCTGCTGCTTCTACTACAAATACATCCTTCGCGAGATCGCTGCTATAACTATCAGAATCAATAAGCAGAAGAATCCGTCTTAGGAGGTGTTTGATAGCATTCGGAACAATAGCTGCATGAATAATTATATCCGGAGTATCACGATAGCCTAGCTAGCTAATACAGATATAGCGCTATATACTTCTTTGCAAGCTGTAATCAACTACATTGCTAAGTACTGCTTCAAGGCTAAGGTAAAGACTTAGCTATACAAGAAGATAATATCCGAATTAATTTCTAAGATTAATCATGCAAAGCTTATAATATCTCTGATTGCTAAGATAATGAATAAGCTTCTCTCTGAACAAGACTAGCTAGCTATGGAAGTTGCTTATTACTTGCTCAGCTTCCCTCTCATTCAGTACAATCATCAGTTTATCAATGTAAATTGCTATTCATCTAATCAACATAAGAGCTCCCTTACAGTTCTTAATGCTAATAACTAGATTCGAGATTTCAAGCTTCTCTACCAGAAGTATTATAAGCGCTATGCTATCTAGAAGAATCTTATATACTTTGATTTCCTCTCCAAGATCAACTATACTAGAGCGCAGTAAACATAATTCAGCTTTACAGCTAAGCTTCGAGTTTTGAACTATTTCCCTCGGTATTCTCTCAAGAGCTTCTTGCTGAACTTTGAAAGCTTTGCTTGCATCAAGCTAATGCTCAACCATCTCTTTAGAAACTACTATCATCTCAAGAAGATTAATAGCGTATCCTTTCCGATCTTCAGCAAAGCTTTCGAGCACTGCCTTGCTATCTACAATCACTCTAACAACTACTACAGCACAGCAGAGATAGATGCGCCAGAGGAAGGCTTTGAGAAGAATCCTGATGCTGTACAGATAAACCTTGAGGCTGCTGATTGGAATATATTAGCTACAGAGCTTTCCAACTATACTATTGAGACTAATAATATCGAGATTCTTAGCAATCACTCTATCAATCTCAACTATAACTGGAGTTCTCATATTAATCGATATCTCAATCTCTGGAATATGCAAACCAACTTCTGAAAGGATCTTCGGGCTATCTTGCATATTCCAGCATCAGCAGACCAATTACAATCAGAGTTTGCTATTCTGAATCTAAATACTCAGCAGCACTTGCTATATACTACTATTGTAAATCACTAGAAGGAATGCTTTGAGTATGATTATTATGGGAATAGCATGATTTGCAATTCAGATTATTAGCTTCTATTGCAGATTAATAAACAAAAGAGCATAGGAAAGTCTTATACGTTAAAGATTATTACTGCAGCTATGCAGAGAGTCTCGAATAGATTCGCTTATCCTTACGAGATGATCATAAAGGCTGCGCTTACTAGTATTGCTGCTAATGCTATTAATAGCCAGACAATTCATTCTCTCTATCGGATTCCTATTATAAATATAATAAAGCTCAATAATCTTACTATTAGCAAAGCTACAAATATCCGCAATAAGCTTTGCTATATCGAATACTTCATTATTAATAAGAAGTTAATAATCTTATGCAAGCTTTTGGTATGGATTAACTACTACTTTCGCCAGATCTTCAAGTGCAATCACATCTTTGATAGCTGCTATATTATCCTGTTAAGCAATTTCTATCAGCTATCTCCAGTAATAACGAAGCTTCTCTTTTCTCATAAGAAAGACCTTCCAAACTTTGTAAACAAAGCTAGCCGGATAGCATACCTCGAGTTCAAGAAGACTATCGAATTAACCGAGATTATGCAGCAAGCAGGCGCAAGCCAAGCTCCTTTTCGTAATGTGCTTGAGAGCCTCCGAACTAACAAGCCTACTGAGAAGGACTGGAAAACTCTCTCATTCCGCATATCTACTTCCCTGCTTCTGAACGAGATAAAGCGCTTTAATAATGCTCTGCGCATCTATTCTACCAATGCTGAGATTGTTGAGTACAATACAATCCATCTAGAACATCTTAATAAGCCTGTAATCCAGAACATTGCTATTAATATAGAACTATAAGCGCATATAGTTCCTTCTTGAGATGCTGGCAATCTGCACAATTCTTTGCTGCTCTATATTAGTGCTAAAATTATACTTATAGATAATATATGAATCGATATTAGCTTGGTGAATAATGCTATCAGCACTGTTTATGATATTATCTAGTTTGCTAAGATTAAGAATTCTTGCAAATACTAGCCTTTTGTTATACTTATCAAGATGAATAGCTATTCTGAGCCATACTGCTTCCCAGAGAATTACAAGATTCCCTCCAGTATAATCCCCATCTTCCTTATCTATCAGAACTTTCTCAAGAGAAATGCCCCTTGCTTGCATATCCAGTTTCTATTGATCATTGCATACGCTATTACTATATACAAATCGCAGAGCTCTATACTGAACCAGGCTATAATGAATATCTCTTCCAAGAACTTTGCATCTAGTCTAACATATGTGGCAGTATCTCGCGTAACTCATCTGGAAGGGCTGATGTTTGATAAGCTCTTTTATCTTTCTGATCTCTGTATCAAGAAGAATCAGATAGAAGCTTGCTGTACCAGGGATTACCAGAGACGAAAGGATGCAAGCCAGCTTCTCAAGCCTTGCCTAGCTGCTTACTCTCAGCAGTCCCAGCCTCAGCAACTGCAATCTTCTCAGTATAGTAACAGCTTAGCAGTTAATAATGCCTAGTGGAAGCTGGAGAACCTTTATAACTAGCTTAGATAGCATATATAGAGATTTTGAAGCACCTTAATTGATAATGCTTTCCTTTAATACTCTGAGCTCTAGATCTTATATTAAGATTATACTAAAGATGATATATATATATTCATACTTATTCCTTTATAAATTTAAAGCTATATTGCAACTATATATACTCATAATCATCTCATATTACATATGCACTAGATTTAAATGCACTCATTACTGCCTTATATTACAAGTGCATTAGATTTCAGTATACTCGCTACTGCCTCATATCACAAGTGCACTAGATTCCAGTATACTCTCAACTGCCTTATATCATAAGTGCATATAGCTTGGAAGCTTTCAGATCTTGCTAAGTAGAATAAATAAACACTTTCCCCTCTCTCTTTTTGCATTTTTAGAAATCTTAATCTTTCCTTTCTTTCTTAACAACAACATCTATATTGATACATTTGTTTACTACACTTTTCAGATATTCAAATCATTAATTACTATATTATTATCAGATTGATTATTATATCTTCATTACAAGCTGCATCAGAAGCTATTTTTGAATCAGCTTGAAGCAGTATGCTCCTCTCAATGCAGCTTCCTCTCCCTCTGCATCATTAAGCTAGCTAGCTAATGCATTTCTATCTGCAAGCTCGACTGCTTAGGAAGCAATCTACGCTTCCCTTGAAGCTATACAGAAGCAGTTCTCCAAAAGCACTCTGCCTACCAATACTCAAGTTATTAAATTAATAGCAGCTACTGCAATCAGACTACTTATAGTCAATTCAATGCATTGCAAGAGCCTAAGAAGCTTTAGCCTCCTATATAGCACTTCAGCAGCAACGAAGAATTTGATTTCAGCTCTCATTCAGGCTTCTAGCATGTTAGCCTTGATTCTGTATCAGCATTATGCTCAGAAATACAGACTCTGAACGGATTGTATAGTTATGCTCTGCAGCATAGTTGATTCTACCCCTCTCTGTATCAACTGCTATTATAGCGGAGGAACGGATCGTTGCTTGTAGAATCCATAAGTGCGAAATGATTCTCAGAGATCCCAGATTCTATACGTAATAGTTGCGCAGGCAGAGGCTCTCAGGCTCCTGAAGAAGAGTCAACTATCCAGCGAGGCTCAATCCCTCGCTGAACAAGCACTCGTGGAGCATCTCTGCTATCAAGCCGAAGCCCTTAGTAATGGAGACTGTGGTCATCTAGTATAGGCGCTGGCGAGGAAGGTGAAGCCCACTGGGGAGGAAGAGAGTGATTATACAGCGGTGAAGAGGGAGGAGCAGCAGCAGCAGGAGGAGGAGGAGCAGCAGGAGGAGGAGCAGCAGGAGGAGGAGCAGCAGGAGGAGGATGTTGCGATGCCAGATGTGGGCTGCGATCTCTTTATAAGAGATGAGGAGGGCTAAGGCGAGGAAGGAGAGCCTTCGGGAGCGCATGCCCCTGTTATTCGCATACCTGAACCGCTTGCTCGTGAAGAGGAAGTATATCTTGATGATACCTCTGTAAGGAACTCAGCTGATATTGAGCTCGAGATAGCTTCTCTCTAGCTAGCTTTTCTCGAGAAGGCTACTTCTCAGCCTAGCGATAATAAAAGCTAGTTGTGCAATCAAGATGATAAATTTGCTGGATTATCTATCTTCGCTTTAAGCTCAGCTCTGGTTCTTACTCATAGCTCTAGCTCTCTTCCTCCTTTCGAGATCAGCTCTATGCAATCTCAAAGAAGGCTAGGCCAGACGTCGCTTGCAAGCCAGATGCAGAAGAAGTGATGCTGATATCAAGAGCTTGTATATCATTAGTCTATACATAGTTGCTTTTCTATTGTTGCTTTCTATTGTTGCTTTCTGTTATCTGCTTTTCTATTTATCTCATATATTCCACTATCATATACCCTTTGAGGCGCCAAGTAGCAAGCTGAATAGGACTGCTAAGTAATAATCATTGCACTATCTTCCTTGAGAAGGTATGTAAAGACTGCTCAATTAATAAATATCGTTAGAAAGAGTAGCTATATAAGTAGCTATGTAAGCGGCTGTTAGAAAAGTAGGCTTTATTTGCTGGAGGATATAGAGGAAAAAAAAGTTGAATCGAAATCAAAATTTCAAGTCCAGGGTAAGTTTGTAAGGTATACTTATTACTCAATCGTATCAAGAGTGCACTGTAATAAGATGCACTCGTCACTCGATCATGTCAAGAGTGCACTGTAATAAGGTGCACTCATTACTCGCACCAGTCAAGGGTATATAGAACTCTTCCGGTCCGGCCGTACCCTCCAGTGGCAGGCTGCTTTCGCTACAGCATCCACTCCGTTGATCCCTTAACCGTTCCGGCTGGCAATTAAATGATAAAAACAGGGCTGGCAATTGAATATAAAAACAGTGGCTGGCAATTGAATATAAAAACAGTGGCTGGCAATTGAATGAGCCCCCTAGGATATAGATTTAAATATACGAAAAAATTTGGTGTACTCCCCAGAGCGTGCGGAGGGCCGTAGTATACCAAATTTAGTGGAACGGTTTCGTATATTTTAATATATACATTGCTCTCCTGCATTCTAGTCTGTATCTCCTAAATCCACTGCATAGCACATCCCGAGAAGTGTATTATGGGAGAGCTCAAAGCAGACAGCAAGCTTGGAGCATGGCGCTGATACAAACGAGAGAGGCGAATACAGTATGACAGCTTTAGAGTTCGTAATACAGCGTAGATATTCTGAGATTGCTGGATATTACTGGCTACTTCTCATCTTCGCGATAATATAAGTTAGCACTCGAAGAACGGCAGCAACGTGCGCATGTATCAATAGGACAATTCATTGGTTAAAACTTCTGTGCTAGAGTGAGTCACTGTAGTTAATTATAGAAGTATTGCAATATCTTATTTTTGAAATCGAATGTAGAGTAGTAATACGTCTAATTTCAAATTGTAATCGGAAGTATCTAGCTTGAATTCTATAACTTTCTGCTTTTGCTAGTTATAAATCAGATAGCAGAGTCAGATTTCAATATTGATTGAACCAAGTCCTTTGAGTTATACTATTCATAAACCCTTTTCCATATTTTCTTCTTTGACTACTCTCTCTGCTTCTATGCGAATCTTTTCTCTGGGCTCGAACTTGCTAGATTTGAAAACTTATAGTAGAATTGAATTGCATCATGCTTAGCAAACAGGCAAGCCGCAAGTGTTAAAAAACAAGATGAAAAGTTGACTGCATAGGCAGCACAGTTTCAACATGGTTCTACAAAGTTTTGTAGCCCAACAAAGCAACTCATGGGCACAAATCCAGATATCAAAAACAAATTGCCTCTACCTTGTAGAGATGGAACCAATCTTTATATCAAAAGCATGCCACTCGAGGCTATCAATGCTCTTGCAAGAAGTTGTACAGACTCTATAAAATGATTACTATACAGGTATTCAAGGTCTTCTGCAATATGAGAGCCGAGGATGCCCTCCACTGTAACATCGCTGCAGTAAGGGATCGATCTGATTCACTTAGGATATAATCGAACATAGGAAAATACACCATTGACCTACACCTCTTTGAAATTCCTGTCCATCCCTATCACTATAGGTTTCGTCCAGTCTCTTTTCATCTTTGCTGCTAGCCAACTTCCGCAATTCATCCCCTGCATGATCTTTTATAAACATTAGATACGCCTCATGATGAGCCTTATAATGATCGGCAATCATGTTAGGAGCTCTATGCTCTGACCACGCTCCAATCCCCGATGGTTCGCAGCCCACACATTGCACCGAGACGAAATTCCGGAACCCAGGTCACTCACTCCTCTCCAAATAGACGCAGAACCATCCTCTGACTAACCCTGTTCTATTCCTATCGAATCTTAACTTTTTGCTGCTATAAAACAAGAATACATTTATTATCATTAAATAAACTATTAGAATATAGCTCTTCAGTTATTAATCTAAGTATTTATTTATTACATACTTGAATAGCTCCAAAGGCGGATAAAAGCACTTGTACGGATTACTTGTTATATTTCCGTATTCAATTGATTCTTATTTTGATACCGCTCTTGTTAGCATAAATCCTTTGTGTACTTCAGAATCTTCGGATATTGCAGTGCATCATTACAATATGCTACAGATATTATTTGACCCTGCTTCAGTTCCGCGCATGTGACGCCGACGGCAGCCCGGACCTACCCTCGCCCTGCCTGCCCGCCGTCTTTGGACGCTTCGTCCCTAAGTACGGCGACCTGGGCATCTGGGCGCCAGAAGGCATAGATGCGCTGCGCGTCTGGCAGCTGCGGTGCCCCCGCGGGCGGCCTTTTGTCTGCGTGGTAGCCGAGCTCGCCGAAAAGAAGAACCGCAGCTGTCTCGAGGGGGTCATCAAGGATCTGGCTGAGTGAGTGCATCAGAGCCGAGTGGCGGCCTCCCATCCGTAGTCCCCAATAGCTAATCCATGTCGTAGATTAGTCGTTACGCCACTGATGCTCAATGCAGCTTCGCTGGGCGAGTGCAGAGACGAGGCTTGGATGACGTTCAAGTATCGCATGCTACCCTCACTGCTGCTAAAGCCGCGCGGATACGAAAAGAGGGCAAAGAGAGAAATGAGAACCGACTACGCCCGCAACACCAACCCCGAGCTCAGTACGATGCCCGTAAAATGCTCGATGGAGGAGCTGAGCGACATCTTCGACCGCAGCTGGCCCTGAACGCCGCACAACCACGAGCTCTCCGACATGAGCATCCTGGTCAAGCCTGACCTGTCGGGCATCGCGTGCGTGATGGAGTGGCGGGTCTCACCCCTGCCCTTCGGGGCGAGCCTCGCCGCGGTCCAGTGTCTGCTGGGCACCAACTTGGGGAATGACGACTGGCTATACTATCCCTCGGACCCCTTCGAGCTCTCGCGGCTCCTCATTCATTCCGTTCACTACCTCCTCTGCAGAGAGACGAATACGGTGCTGAAAGCCACGGGCCGGAGGAGGTTACTGGTTGCCATGCGATTTGGCTACGCGTTCGATTTTGGCCCAAAAGTGGCCAGTGACCCCCGACGGTTCCGAACATCGCATCTAAGTCGAGTCATGTGTGCGTTTGAGGAGCTGTAGTGGGACGAAGAGCACTTCCAGTTCGGATGATACGGCAATAATCTGTAGGTCTCGTGGACTCCTGTTGTGGGGGCAACCGAGAAGCTCAAGAGGAAAGTGGAGCGGGATTGTTCTCCATACCTAGGTATTTCCTTAGTTTTCCATACATGTCAGTCAACTACCTTGTTCTATGACTCGTAAAGGCGCCATAACAACCTACCTTGGCTTCAAAGGCCTGCTGTTTAGAAGAGAAGTGCTGAAGGATGTCCGGGCGTCAAGCTACGGGAGCCGCAGTGCCAGGGCACAAATAAATCAATGCTCATCCACTCGGAGATCTACAACATCCACATGATTTCCGACCCATCCTTGTCTGAGCCACATCCGACACAAAACCGGGCCAAAACTCGGGTGCCCAGCGCTGGTCACCGGAGCGAAAATGAAAAATGAGGCGAGCGCTAACAAAAGGCTAGAAGTGCTCTTGTGCCCGGACTGTGCCGCCGGGGGGCGTAGCGTGTCTCGGTGAGGAAATACGAGGCAACTAGACTTAAAAAATGAGGCGTGAGGTGAGGTGAAGACCGAGAGGCATGACCGTAGAGCAACGCGCCCGAAGGAAGCAAAACATTTTATAAGGGGAAGTCCGGGGGGGCAAGTCGTGTATTTATATGCAAGAGCCCCCTCGCGTTTGGAAATTACAAGTTCCATTTCCTCCATCGAGTGCATAAGGCACTTGGAGTTTCTACCAATCGTACAACTTCTCACTCAATTTTTACCAATCATACTACGCCACCTCCCGCACATATGGCCCCCAAGGCATCTTTGTTTCATTACCGCCAATAGCGTCGCGCCACACAAGTTTGTTAGCCCGGCATGTACAAGCAGATCCGTCATGTTTGTCCCCCCTCTGTTCCTTCCAAACAATCAGACTTCCATCAATTAATTAGCGGTATCTAACATGATCTTTTCTGCAGGCTTCCATCTTCCAGATGGATTGGGGCATGACTGGTAAGAGGGTGTTTCCCTCTGTTGATATGACTTTTGTTCCCACGACGCGCCGCATGGGGAGACGGAAACCCCATACGGTGCAGGGCAATCAGAGTCATACGTTGGGCGTCTACCTAGTCAAGTGGTACATCAAGTGCACCGCCATTTTGAGGCTGTTGGTTTGAACTTTGAAGCTGTTTGCCTTAATTTTCGGCCATTGGCCACACAACGTTGGAAGCTTCTCATTACTGTCTCGGGTCTGGAGACGGGAGGCTTTACAGAAGATTGGAATCGACTCATTCAAAGCTTATGTATACAATGCGTCTCGGAAGCCAGGTGGATACCGGGAAGCCTCTTTTTTGGGCAGAGAATAGAAACTGATCCTACCTTCATATGTCGGTATCTTGGTAACTCTTGCTTGCATTATCGTGCTCTACTTATATTTATCCTCGAGGATTCTGAACTTTGGCAATCGCCCTTGCCAACCAGGTGCATTTATAGGCGCTAGGCGTGCGCGCGTCTAACGGTGTCCGGGGATGGCCGGGCCCCAGGGGCAGTCAAGGATACCCAGAAGCGGCCAGGAATCCCTGAAGGTCCTCGAGGGCGTCTTGAGTGTGGTCAAAGTCAACGCAATGGAGGCTTTAGGTAGCCAGAGACAGGTGTCGGAAGCACTCATACCATCTATCATTGACAAGCTCCTATTCATCCACAATGCTCCGGCCACTGGCGGGCCTACTTGGTGAACGCTGAGGAACAGCGGATGTGATGCGTAATCAATGGATTTTTCAGGCTGGCTGCTCTAGACTATTTCCAGTCAAACTAGAAGCGGAAGTGTGTTGGGCTTCGTACGAGTAGTGCTTGGTTTCTGAATTGTTAACTCCTTCATAATCTTGCTCATAAGCTTATAGGTTGCAAACAGGGCTGCTGAAGCAGGACCCCAAGCAGCAGCATAGGCCGGTTCTGCTAGTAGATCACTTTCTGGTATCATTGCTTATTAGCAACCGTTTGTATGGCTACAGTTAGGCATTTTGCTCTTCTTAAAATCGCCGCCATGCATCACAACTCCGGCCCTAGGACTCGGTAAGTCGTGCGACTACAAGCGAGCGCTTGGGTTCTAAATCTTAGCTACTTGTAGTTGGAGTTCCAAATATCTGGAAGTTGTATTTTAAGCGCTCGTTTGTAGAGCAAAATGGAGCCAAAGAGATGGAGTATCGGGCAAGGGTATTCATCAGGGTTAGGGTATATGATCCCGGTTACGATGACAAAGATCATTAGGCGCTGTGGTCCTTTAGTTACCGGGAAGGCCTTCCTACTCTCCATATGCGTATTCCTATGTATAGATAGAACAACCTACAGTCATGCTATACTCGTGGTATGAGGATCGGTTGCAAAATCTAGATTCGCTGTATGGTTAGACGATGCGCTTCGCGAAAGTGGATGTGACTGAGTGGCGGAAAATGTTTGCACTTGAGAGAAGGATAGAAAATTTAGAGCCCATTTGACCTTTTTTTAAGTGATGTGAAATGCGAACATGGTCTGTGCTGCCCAGCGGCTGCCTGGAGACTGATGCAAGCTGATTGGGTACTGCATGCCCTCTCCCTTTCCCTTCATTAGCCTCAGCCAAACTTAAGTCCATTCTCTGAAAGCTGGACCCCCCTGCTAACCCAGCTTAATTCCGTTCCCAGCTCCCTACCCCTTTGCCAAATTTTTGTTCGCATCGACAACTCGGCATTCTACCATCTTCATGTCTGTGTCTTGCACATTACAAGCTATCTTTCTAACCACCATTACTCGGCTCGGCAACAGCAGTCTGCATACAATTGGCAAGCACGTTTGACTTGTCAGAAACAGTACATTAACGAAAACTCCTTCGAGCCGACGCGAGCTATCGAGGCTACCAGATACGAGAGCGAACGCAACGAGGAAAGAAGGATGCGATAATCAGCGATACGAGAGAGAACAGCACGAAAAGAACAAAACGAGAAAGAACGATACCTTCACCAACAACGAAAAAAACAAGACCGAGAAGAGCAGCTTCCACACCAAAGTCATGGCCATAGGCAGCCCAACCGGCGGTAGCCAGGCTTCGGAGGACGAGTTGCCTGGCAATACGCGCCTTGCTAACGGAGAAGAGGCTACCTTTTTCAACACGGGGTATCTCATGATCGGGCAGGACCTGGAAAATCTGGCGAGGAAAAGGAGGAAAGCTACGCCAGATTTTGAGCTACTCGAGCCAGAGGCCAGGCCCATGCCTGCCAGGCAGCAGTGCGCGGGGCTGTGGCCTTCGTTGCCCGACGGAGACGCAGTGGACCAGGTGCAGCGCGACATTCCGGACGCATGGTACCAACTCTGCAGGGTCTCTGCCTTGTTACAGTTCATAATGCTCATGGCGGAGAAGGGAGGGTTTTGGAGGCGCGGTTTGCACCTCTTTGGCGACGGAAGCAACCACGAAGGACAGTCTGATGGCTACTGGCGGCATGTCGCCGACACTCTGTGCGACATTTTGCACAAGATGGAAGCCACCAAGGCCGAGGCGCGAGAGCATATGCAAAAGATCCCGCTGGATGAGTTCTGGAAGGTGGAACTAGAGAATTTGGAGCCCATTGCGGCGGAGGCGGAGCAGAAATATCACGAGGCTATGGTCGAACAAGTGCGGCAAGTGGGATTGGAAAGCGCTTCTTCTACTCAGCAGACGGCTCAGGGGACGGTCTCTCAACCAGCGACTCCACAAGCATTGCGAGCCCGGCAGCCAGGGAAAGTGCGGAAAAGCCAAGCCGCAAGACCAAACAGGACACGACCGAGAACACAGAAAGCACAGGAATCACAGGAATCACAGGAATCACAGAAAGACGGTTCTCAACTTAGGACTATGATAAGGGGGAATGTGGCATCAAGAGCGGCCCTAAATTTCTCAGAAGACAGCAAAAACTCGGGTCCAGCCATGGGCAGCAGCTTCGCATCAACAGCATCTGGGAAGTCATCTAGAATGGCGTACGGCTTGAACACCAAGAGCATTATCGACATCGAGAAGCGCTCCTTACGAAACCAGAAAAAAAAGACAAACCAGACGCCGGCCAGCACTGGAGTTCTCGACGGTAGGGTCGACACGAGAAAGCAGTATAGACGCACGCAACGTCCTAGAAAGGGTTAAGGGTACCACTTCCAACTCCACCAGTTCTCTGGGGTGTTTGGAAACCCAAAGAATACGACTTGCTGAACAAGCATCATCATCAACAAATTGCACGGGCGCAGCCTGGTTTTGGCCCATGGGCAGCTTGCCCAAAGTGCAAAGGATCGCACCCGCGTCGGCCTCAGGAGTGCGGACATTCAGGCTGCGAGGACTTCTTCCGGGCCAAACACCTTGACCAATAGAGGCCAAGGAGCATGGCCAAAATAGCGCTCCAAACCGCCTTACCTCGCCTGAACCTGAAACAGATAGGTCCGAAAGGCCGAGGAAAGGGGAGACAGGAGCGGAGCGGACAAACCGCGTCGCATGCACAGAAGTAACCAATGAGATAATGGCATGAGGCGCATGACGTGCCGGGCTGCAGGGATGACAGGAAAGGGAGACGCGCGCTCGGGGTCCAATCGGGTAGTAGAGCCCGTGAGTTAGGTACCTGGGCAACGAGATAGCTTGACCAATAAGAAGGAAGGCCACGAACCAGGTCTGCATGAGATCTGATCCAATGGCTGTAATCCAATGGCTGTCATGACGCCTCTCTGATCCCGTTCCAAGTGAGTGAGAATAACATGCAGGGGTCGCAAGCGTATCCCCGCCACCAGTTGTCAGTGCCAATCACCTACGTAGCAACCATCCTAGCGCGCAGCCCTTCTCTCATAGCCTTCTACCCCCCTCCTCAGTCCTTCATCGAACCTATCCACCTAAACTTGTCTTCTTCCATTTTCTTTTCTTTCTCAATTCCGACATTGCGCTCCTGCAAGGCCCAATGCTTGTTCCACCACCCACGGGCACAGCCACCTTTCAGCAACTTTTTTCTTTTGACTAGTTTTGACAAGCGACAGCCATGAATCCCCCAGAGGGAACCGACTCTCTGGACCTGAGCCAGTATCTGGTCATGCTCGGTTCGTTCCGCATAGTCACTGACAACAACACAGTGGCGGAGAAATCGGTGAAGGCGATCGCGGACCACAACTCAGAGTTTCGTTTCGACTCTACGGCTCATGATAATCATAGCACTGACGCGTGGATGGGCAGCAACCCGCGCGAGGAGCTGTGGGGTCCGTTCTTCGCGCTGCCGCTGGAAAAGATGAGTAAGACGAGCATGCCCAAGAACAACAGCGCCTACATCCTCGGGTCGCTGGACCCGGAAGAGGCTGAGCTCGCGGGTAAGAGCCACCCGAAGCAGCGGGCCAAAGATAATTGCGCGTGCGACTTTGAGCTCGCTGAGAACAACCAGACGGGCATCAGTCGGAAGACGATCAGCATCGACCTTTACCCGCAGCCCAATGCCAACAAGCAGGTAATGGTGCGCGTGGGCGTGCTGACCGAGAGGGTGAGGTACGCGACGCTAGACGCGGACCCGGACGCGGGCTGGTCGACGTCGCATGCGGTAGAGAAGGGCAAACACTTCCCGGTGCCGCAAGACGGCTGCCTCCTCATCACCATCTCGCGGCTCCAGTTCCGCATGTGGGTGCCGAAGCTTACGCCTGTCCAAGACGCACGCCGCCGCAAGTTGGCTCACGCATTCGAACTCGAGGCCCACTATTGGAAATAAACTGTATTGAACTGCGCTTAGGGAAGGAAAAAAGGGAGGAAAAGAAAGGAAGGGAAGAAAAAAGCTGGCTAATTGAGGCTATAGCTAGGTTGGCTGGCGATAGTGGGGCCAGTGATCCACCTGGCCTCGCACACCCACCGCAGCCCGCCGACATACTTTCCGAGCATGCACATCGGCGTCGACACACGCCACAACAACATGCGTATCAGCACGTCCAAGTCCAAGTCCAAGCCGACGGCGACGTACCTGTACATGGGGACCGGCGCCCCTACGAGCATCCTCGCGAAGCCGTTTTTTACCGTCTGGAGCCCTCCGAAACAGCTACTCTCTGCCTAGCAGCCGATGGTAGAGCCTAATAGTCCCTCCCCCGTGTTGGAAGTTCAAGTGAACAAGGTGGTGGTATATTGCGCCCTAGCTCCATTTCTCCCGTACTATGTAAGTTGGATCCGCAAACAGTCATTTACAATCAACCCGCGAACCAACCTATACTGAGACTGTTGGTTATTGCTCTCTTTTTCCAGCCCAACGTGTACAACTTCGTAGAAGTGGCTGTCTACGCCGCCGATGACTCTCGGTCGAAGCCGAATAACCTGCCGTGGGCCATCGGAGATTTTGTCCCCGACAACACGGAGACGCTTGGCACCCTGCTCGACCTGGAGGCTGCCGGCGAGGACACGCTCGGGCCCAGGGAGCGGTTGTTCATCTTTCAGCAGTTGTGCAGCGCTATATGCCATGTGCACTCGCACGACATGGCACACGGCGGGCTCACCAGCCGTGAGATTCTCATCATCCCAGGGGCAGCCACAGAGAACCCCATTACGGAAAAGGCGGACGACGAGGCTGTCGTCCAGACCGACCCCGTGTGCACCGTCAAGGTGTTTGGGTTCACCGTGTCGACCCTCAAGTACCGCAACGAGGAGGTGGTGAAGGCCCAGAAGGGCGACGCTGTCGAGCTCGGTCACCTGGGCGTGCGGCTGCTAGCCGGCTGCGAGAAACGCCTGCGCACACTGTCCTACAAAGACAAAGATGCCTGGATCGAAGCCAGCTACGGCGCAGACTATCGCGTCCAGCCGCTGCTCGAGTACCTGATTGGCGGCCGCCTTTCCTCGGAACATGCCAAGGACTGGGCGTCGGGCATCCTGATCGACAAACCCGGCGTGAGCGCCCTGGCCAAGAGAATGGAGCAGCGGTCCGCCAAGCGCAAGTGGACCGAGTCGCGCCTCGCCCCGCAGGAGTCATCCAAGCGTCAACATACGGCCCAGCCCATGTCCGGCAGCACCGCCGTCGCCAATGGCACGCGCGTGATCAGAATTCCAAAGAGGAAAAACGCTGCTGCGGCTCGTGCCGCTGCAATGCTGAAACCCCAGACGGACCGAGTAGAGCGAGCAAGCGCGGCGCAGCTGCGTTGCGTCAAGCCGCTGTCGTCTAACCGAAAAATCGTACGACCCCGGGCGGTTAGAGGCCAGATACGAGTTAGCCGCGCTTCCATTGCCAACTTGCGGGGCTCAGAAACCCACCCTCCGCTTCGGTCGTCGCTGAAATCCGGAACAAGACAGGCTCGCGGCACTGTTGGGGCGTCTGTTGCGTGGCAAGAAGATCTGAAACCGAGTTCTAGCAAGCTAGGCTCGCAGAAAGGCCTAGAGGAGGTCGCATCGCCCAACGCACAGTCTCCAAATGACCAAGCTGCCAGGAAGAGTGCTCAGCCTGTAGACTCTCTAAGCAGATCCAGCGGAAACCTAGAGGTTGAGAATTATCAAACGGCCCTTTCTCACACCCGGGCCGCAAGACAAGATTTTGTGGACCCGGTCGATGAGGACGACGCCTTGTCGTTTGACCAAAAGTACGCGAGTGAGGAAGAACAAGCGCGGCAGGATGCTGTTCCCCATAAGCACGTCGAAGTAGACGACGGAACCACAGCCTCAGAAGCGAGCCTGAATGACAAAGTCGCGGCGGAGCCGTCTGACCTTGATCTGGCGCAGGACGACGCCTTGTCGTTTGATCAAGTCTATGCAAGCGAAGAAGAACAGGCGCGTCAGGACGCTATTTCGCCTGAGGTCATCGAATGGGAAGAGGGAACCACAGAGTCAGAATCGAGCCTGAACGGCGTAGACGGGGCGGAGCCGTCTGACCTTGATCCGATGGCGGCGTCAGAGGTGCAGTCGGGGCACACGTCGGCGATCTTAGTCGGCAGCGAGGCCGACTCACACGACGAGGCCAAGCTCTCCTCGCAGCTGCGGCCGTACATGTGGGGTAGCAGCCAGAACAAAGAGAGTGGCAAGGTCGAGGATGATGACGACGAGGTCGTGGATGATGAGGACTACGAGTTTGACCCCATCGTCAGCGGGGCGAACAAGGACGTGCCTCTAGACTCCCAGTACGATGATGACCTACCCGACACACAGCCCTGGACCAACGAGCCCCCAGTCGCCGAAGGCGAAAAGCCCGGCGCGGTGTCTCAGCTGTTCGAGTTCGAGGAATTGCAGCCGGCGGATGAGGAGGCGCGCGAAGAAGACGAGTTGAGCGATAGCCGCGCGGAGCAGCAGATACAAGACCAAACCGCTGGTTGGAACTCGTGGTGGACGACGAAATGGATGAATCGCGAGCGCAAGCTCGGCGGAATTCGCGAGGAAATGCAATCCGCCGGGAATCAGAGCCGGAGAGACGGGTTGTTGTCTGGCACGACGGCACACCAGAAGACGCACAATTCGGGGTTGTGGTTGTTCCGGTAGAGAGATAGGGGAGAGGGTAGAGGGAGAGATGTGCATGTGTATCAGTATCCCGTCGCACCGCTAACCGTGGTCGACGTGCCTGGATTGTCATCCAACACCCAAATTTACTTTGTTGATGGGACTTGGTTTAGCATATGTATATAAGACTCATTGTATACTTGATTTTGATAGTGTTATACAAGGTTACTACTAAACAGTCAAAAAGTCTCTAATACCGATCTATACTGAAAATATACTTAAATAATGCTTCTTCTAAGCTTAAGCAGTGATATTGCAGATAGAATCTTTGTTCTATTATTTCTATCTGCAGGCAAGTCGAGCTTATCAGAGTTACTTGCAGATACTGAACCAGAACTAGGGCGCCGTCGCCCTCGAAAGAAAAAAGGGACAAACAGCTGCCGAAGCAATGGGCAAGGGCTCGTGCAACCCAAGCGTGCCTGTACAGATGAGGACAGCAAACTAAGGCCACACGGGCGCAAGAACAGGGTGAAAAACCTGTCTTAGACCTGTCCAAAGGGTTCAAAATTGAAAGGAGAGAAAAGAATGCTTTTTTCTTGCCTCTAGCTAAAGAATTTGAAAAGTGGGTGGTATCCTTTATATGTATGAGGACCCTTGACCCACTGTACTCCATGTCCCATGGACTACCACCCTGGCCACCACAACAGCAGTATTGTCAGGGCCGATTGTGCCAGCAAGGCTCAGAGCCAGCTAAGCCAGCTGGATTACGGATGACTAAGCAATATGCGGCTATAAAGCGGCTTTCTAGCCACGTCAGCACTGCTGAGCAGAACTTAGCTCCTTAGGCCTCAATGTTATTCTGGTTGTATGCCCCTGAAAGAGAGAAAGACCTCGCCACATTGCCTTTGCAACCTTTCCACCTGACAAGTATAGCAGAAGAACTTATATATGCATTTCTCAGAATAATTATTGCTAACTACAGCATACTAGAAGAAGTAATCTCTAATAATAAAAGCTTATTTTCAAAGAATAATAGCTTAATATAATATAAATATAATAACTTAATTAGCTAAGCAAAAACATTTTCTTAAAGTAAGTATTGAATTTTATTAATTATAAAAATCTTAGCTAAATATTCTATTATAATAATAACTACTTAATATATCTTTTAAGCAAGAAAAGTTTAGAATAGTTTCTGAAAGTATTATAAAGAAAGATTAAGCAATTAGCAATAAGAAGAAAGAAATTAATCTATAATACAGTTTTAAATAATAGCAACTCAGATTGCTCTAGCATCTTTGAAAAAGAATTAGCTTTTAGAGAAAATAATAAAGAAAGATATTTCTTAGAATACTATAAGCAATAATAGATAGAATAACTCTTGTAAGTATTTAAAGAAGTATTTTTTAATAAGCAATTAGATAATTTATTAAAGCTTATTAGCAATTTATTGAAAATTATTAATTCTAGTAAAGCAAACTTAGTAATACTTTGCAATATATTCGATTTTATTAGTATATATTATTATATTTCTATATACAATATAGAATATATAGTATATAAATTCAGCTTTAGAGAATTCTTTATTTATATTTCTATTTATAATATAAAATCAGTTTAGTATAAAGATTCTAGAATTAATTATATATATTAAAATTATTATAGAATTGCTTAAATCTTATATATTAGTTATAATTATAAGTTATATTTTTTAGAAAAGATTAAATATAAATAATTCCTAGTATGAGAATAGGAATAGATTATTCAAGTATTATAACTCATTCAACATGCAGGTTGCAGAATAGGCTTATCAAACAAGGAATCAGGTATTACAACTCAACATCAGATAATCAATAGTGATTATATAATTCAGAACAAGGATTACAGCAGAAACGGATTATTAGATTAGTAGATAATTCAATGAGCCTGAATTACTTGAATTACTTAAATTGCTAATAATTCAAGATAAGCTATAACAAAGAGCTAAATATATAGTTATACATTCATTACCATTAGATAGATTATTATATATAGCTCTTTAGTTATCAATTTAAGTATCAGATTACTCTCTTACTTTATTAGCTCCAAAGGCAGTAAATACTTGCATAGTTATCCTAGTTGTATTTTCATATTCAAAGCTTATACTTAGCACTGCTCTTGTTAGCATAAACTCTTTATATACTTTAGAATCTCTAAATTACTGCAGTGCTTATTACATTTTGATAATTCTTATTCAAGAATAATTCAGTATTATTCTCTTAAGCAATATAGAATATAATAGCTTCTCAAGAATTCTTCTTATTCTTATATGCTTCTATTTAGAAAGAACTAATTAACTAGATATATCAGCTTACTCAGCGTATTTAGAATCTGTATAATCAGCAATAAGTGCAGAGTGTTACTATTGCTAATTAGCAAGCTCAGCTAAAATAGTAAGCTTAATAAGCTTAGCAGGCATAACTTATTTCTATAATTACTAATAATGCTAGAAAAGTATATAAGATGAATAAGCTTGCTATATATAATAGCAATTAAAAGATGCTATATAAATTTCTTACTTACTGCAGAGCATACTTTCTATATTATATAATTCAGTTTACTAAGGAATCTGAGAAAGTTATTCTTATAGAAACTTATTTCAAAAAAAATATTCTTATTTAATACAAGCTTTCTCTATATAATTACTTGAAGTATTAGAATAACTCTAATACATATATTCAGAATACTAAGAATATATTTGATTTCTTTATAAGTTTCGAAAAAGCTCTTAAGAAGATCTTTAATAATTTTAATAAAGAATATATTATAGCTTAGCAGCTTATAAATCTTAAACAGATCAAATTAGCTTCTACTTATATAATTAGATTTAAATAGCTCTTAGTATAATTCTTATAGAAAGATAAGAATCTTATAAAATATTATTATAAGAGATTTAAGAATAATATTAAGAATGAGATCTTCAAATAGAATTAACTGAAAAACTTTGTAATATTCTCAAATCAGATAATCCGCATTAATAACTATTTATATAAATAATGAATAAAGAAGTTCAAGAAAGAAGAAAGCTAAACTTGGAAGTTTCTAGCTAATACAAACAAGAAACTTTAGTATAAGAATAGCAGTTAATATAATAGCATAGCTTAGAGCAGCATAATATATGCTAATCTTATAAAGCTTAATATAGCTAATAAATAGTATAGTAAAAAGAATAGTATTACTTGCTATAACTGCAATAAATAGAAGCATATTTTATATAATTGCTATTAATTCAGAAAAAATAAATAGCAATTAGTTCAGAAAGAATACTAAGTAAATATTGCTTAATAATAAAAACTTAATTAATTAAATAAAAATATTCTCTTAAAGCAAGTATCGAACTCTATTATTTATAGAAGTTTCAGCTAAATATTCTGCTATAATAATAATTGCTTAATATATCTCTTAAGTAAGAAAAGCTCAGAATAGTTTTCTCAAAAACCTAGATACTATAAACAGATAGCAATAGAAGAATAAAAGCATATGCTTAGTATAATTACAAGCAGCAATAATTCGAATTATTTTAATATTATTGAATAAAGTATTCAAGTACTAAAAATAGAACTTAGCAATAGCATTCTTCATTACTCTTTATTACTCATATTAAGCGCTATAGCTAGAAATATGAATAGAAAATAATATCTTCTCAGCTACTAATACAAATACTTAAATAACGCTGAAAATACCTCTCAAGCAACAGAGGGATTAAGCTAGAGCAAACAATCTAGCAATCTATTAGAATCTTTCGGAAACAGCGAACTTAACAGCTTTATAGAAGTTCGGAAAGAAAAATTTCTCTTTAGCATCAGAAAGAATAAGAAAGCAATATAAATTAAGTATCTTATCTATAGAATAGAATTAGAAAAGCTCTTTATCTGCATTCTCTTGCAAAACATTGAAATACAACCAGATAAGAATTCTCGAATCAGCTTACTTCACAGTTTATATTACAAGCTAACATAAATCTTCTGTGCTTATTATAGCTATAGAGCACATTTCTCAGAGAAGATATAATATAAATAATTCTCTATCAGAGAATCAGAATAAATTCTTCAGATTATTAAAGCAGAGAAGCTTTACTTTAGAAGAATTCTTAATAAGCAATATAGCAATACATATATTGAGCTGCTAAACAACTGCTCTAGATAATATATGAATAAAGAAGTAGAATAGTAGTAATGCAGAATAATACTCTATATGATTTATATTAATAATAAGATTTGCAACTAGTATTAATAAAAAGATAATTAGAGATAATAATAATACGAGTAGAAGCAAGCTAAAAAGCTTGCTCGAGAAGCAGCTATGCAAGTCTAAGAGAAAGCTAAGCAATTTTCAAAAACTTCAAAAAGCTAGAATTGCTTATAAGAGAACTGCAGATAATTAGATTGGAGCAGTTTCTATATAAAGCTTCTAAAGCAGATTATGCTTATATTAAGCTCAATATATATATTCATGAATACAAGTATAGCGTACTATTAGATATGTTATGACTCATCCAACATGCAGGTTACAAAACAGGTCACGAGTAACAAGGACCCGGTGTCATGATTCAACATCGGACAACCAACAAGGATTACGTAACCTAGAGTTAGGGTTACAGGCTGCAACCAATCAGGAAGGGACTGGAGCAGTCGACGATCGGTCCTCACGGTCCAGGCAGAGGACCGCAACAATCAACCACCGACTCTTACGGTCCATACTGAAGAGCTGAATATATAACCACACGCTCATTACCATCAGATAGATTGAGTACATAGCTCTTCAGTTATCAATCTAAGTATCAGATTACTCTCTACTCTGATAGCCCCAAAGGCAGTGAACACTTGCATCGCTTATTAGGACTTGTACGGTTCCGTATTCCAGGACTTGACACTTCGACACCGCTCTTGTTAGCATAAACCCTTCGTGTACTTAGGAATCTTCGGATTGCTGCAGTGCTCATTACAAGATAATAGTACTCAGAAAAACTTTATATTTCTATATATTATCAATTAAGTACAACT